TGCGAGGCGATCACGATATGCGTCAGCTAATAGGCGAGATTCCGACATTCTTGCTCCGAGATAATATGGCGGGGCAGGCTATAGATAAACCATGGCTTGATCTTGCTCGCCGCAGTCTTGCAATTACTGCAGCTGAAAAGGTCAGTCAATGTTATCGAACATTTTCTGGTGCTTGATAGATGTCTAACATCAAAACCTATTACCACAGATAATCCTGATTCACCGACCGTTTCTCTTCCTCTCTTTTCAGACATCGCAGTATCCCCATACACGATCAACATGCGTCGGTGCTGCAACTACAATCGTTCGAGAGTATGCCAATATCATTGCGTCAAATCACATCTCGCTTTGGGAACACTCTGCATGTTGCGTTACAGCGTCAATCATCCTATGCCTCGAGTTGTTGTATCCGCGCGAGGATATTGCAAACCACGAAGGTGCTCAGAGATACCATGATCTAATCAAGTCTACACGTGAGCTTCTTGCCAACCGGCGAGCAGACATAATCGCGAAGCGCGGAGTTCGGCTGATAGACACGATGCTATCCGTTGGAGGTCTTCCTACTTTCGCTTCCGGGGCACCCTTAATGCCAACAAAGCAGCAATTCAGGCATAATGTCGCTTCAGTGTCTCGAATTGACCTCCAAGAGATAGTTTCTGAATTCCTTCAAGGCGATGCGCTACGGGTGGATTCGGAAGATGAGTGGTCGGCTTCTTTAACGACGGACGTAGATAATTTTGTTCCTCCTCTCGGTCAAGACTTCGAGGAATGGTTCGAAGCGCTTTTTGGGTCCGAGGAGATTCGTTCTTCTATAAATGATTATCTTAGATAGTGATGAGACTGGGATAGAATCTTTCTTTTCTTAATAAAAAGAAAATGGTCGTATCTTCTTTGACCGTCAGTGATGCTTCCAATTCCAAAGGGTTTGAAAATCCCGTATGCTTCAATTGGAGAAGGTAGGAGCAGAAATACTGATCATGTGATAAGCGCTATAGGATACATTGTCATTCTCCGAGCTTCAATTGCAAAATAAGGGACTGTGTCCAGAAGGAAAACGCTACCAACCTCACCCCCTAGTCACTAGTTTCTAAGTGGTGCAATGTTTGCTTCATCCTCTCGGCCGAGTACTGGAACTCTTCCGAGAAGTCTCTAGTGGCCAGTCGGAAATCGAGTTTCAAGTCCGTTGGTGAAATTCTGCATGAGAGCTTATGACTGAAAGAATCTACCGATTTTAGGCCACGCTCTTGGAAGCTCAAGATATAAATGCAGTGATTTGAAGCTACTCAAATTCGACAAGACATTGCAACGTTTACTTTTTCTTCTGTTGTGTTGTCCACGTAAAGAGCCTTCCAGAGTTGTTCTGACTCATCTGCCTCGATCAATTCTTTCATTTATATAATATCATTGCACTACATTTGCTTCACTACCATGGCAACACTTGCGGAAGGAAAGGTCGACGTTCGAAAGCGAGTGTGGGAACCGCTTCTAAGAGTCGCACGCCCGGACTCCCGCCACCACTTCGACTTCAGCAGTTTCATCGCTGACTTCGAAGGCTCAGATAGAGCGATCAGTCGACTCGTCCACTTACCGTCCTACACTGAAAGCAAAATAATCTTTATCACGCCAGATAACTGCCTGGAGGCTCTGCGTCTTCAGGCTCTGAAAGATGGGAAGATAGTCCTAGTCACAACGTATGCAATCCGACGTGGCTTTTGGATATTGGACCCTCTACACATCGCCACTGTCAATTATGGATATGCTGCAATGCTAGATGGCATGGAACGTCTAGGTCAGTTCACCACGTTGGAAAACATCCAGTCCAAGGGCTGGCAAATTTCTTTGATGGTCACGGGCACTGGTGCCATCAATTACCGCGGAGTGCGCTTCGGGAAGGGGCATGGATTCTTTGATCTAGAATGGGCTATGCTATATACGTTGGGAGCTATCAATCATCACACTGTTGCAGTCAGTGTTGTGCATGACTGTCAGGTACTGGAGGAAGAATTGTATCCGGAGGAGTTTGATACTGTCTGCGACATTGTTGTGACGCCCACGAAGGTTATTAACATCACGGGAGCAGCGAAACCTAAATGTGGGATACTATGGCCACTATTACGGCCGGGCATGCTGGACAGCATTCCACCTTTGCAAGAACTGAAGAAGATGGACGTTCAAATACTAGAATAGATGCCTATGTGGAATCTGACGGCCCTTCCTCGAATTCATCATAACACGACGTGGTAAAGAGAATTTGCTAGCTTCGATAGAAATAGTGATCATTAGGTGTTATCTTCTCAGTATTACTACCCTAATCTCGGACCCGTCTCTATGGCAGATCAAGTACTGTATAGCAGGAAATCCATGTTAGTATGTATGTGCGTGTCTGTGCTGCAAGCTCAAGCGGCTCTGTGCGTGCGACTGTGTTCCATTCTGATGTCAACTTAGATCTATTTTGAGCTGTCCAAACCTGCGCATTGTCCTTAGCACAGTTCTTGTCAAGCTTGATGTCTGTCTCTTCATCAGGCTCCGTTAGCACCTCTCGGCCGAGTTTGTGATTCTCTTCCGAGCATGAACAACGGATCTAGGTGGGCCCATAAGGCCAGTCCGAAGATAGGATATACTCGCGACTTATTGCCCACGATTGTTGAAAATTACAATCGAGATTTATGTACTTAGTACCTACTGCCGCAATATTAAAGATCGCAAATAAAAAGACATGGGTTCAAGCTCGACCCATTAAATTATATATTCCTCGGCTCTTCCAAGTTATCTATAAAACCTTTCAAGACAAGCTCACAATAGTTGACTTACCTGGTCTAGGGTATCCACTCAGGTGTCATCAATGGCCAATTTCACCAAAAACGTCATCATTGACTGTGACCCTGGCATAGATGATGCCGTTGCAATTCTTTTTGCACTGTCACACCCTTTGCTTAATATTCTCGCTATCACAACCGTCTCAGGTAACTTGCCGGCGGATACTTGTTCGAGCAATGCACGCAAGATTCTTCACCTCTCTGGGCGTGATACTGCTCGCCGTATACCTGTTGCGCGTGGACCGCTCCGACCTCTAGTACGACCATATCCCCGAGACCCGTTTTCACACGGGGCAGACGGACTCGGTGATTTGGGCATCACGGAGGACGGAGGATTGACAGAAACTGGGCAATTTGCGGCCGATCTGATTGTCGAAACAGTCGAAATGTATAAGAGTGAGGGTGTGTCGATTATTTGCTTAGGCCCTCTAACGAACATTGCTGTGGCACTTATGAAGGACCCTGAGCTACCGGGCAAGGTGTCTGAGGTGTATCATATTGGTGGCTCTTTTGGATTTAACAATGCCGGATCTGTCAGAGCGACTGGGGCCAATCCTGTCAGCGAATGGAATGTTTACGTAGACCCTGAGGCAGCCGACATTGTATTCAAGGCTCATTTCAATTTTACTGCACTAGGACTCGACATTACAACTCGGCCTGATCTTGAGCTGTCTTCGGAACACCGCGCCAGATTACTCGAAGGAGCAAAGACAGCACACGGCGGTGCATGCCCACGGTTCCTCCTGGATGTGGTAAACTTTGGCGAGTCTCGACAATTCTCGTCATGGTGTTGTCTTATCGACTCTGTTGCTGTGGCGGTAGCAATTGATCCAACATTGGTAATATGCGAGGAGGTCAGCGTCGCTGTCGAGACACAAAGCGCATTAAGCTTAGGACAAACAATCGTGGACAGAAGAGAACGAGAAGGTCATCGATGGAAACAAGAGACGATAATTAAAGCGGCGAAAGATATAGATGCAAGTCGCTTTCTGGATCTCTTAGTCGAAACACTTGTCGGTGACATCTCTAGGAGGTGATGAGAGGAACAATCAATTTTAATTTGAAAGCAAATACAGCCCTTGGCATCAATGCTATACACACTACACAGAGCTTGTGCAACGTTTATAATGCCAAATGATCTTGAGACTGTGTGGATACACGAGCTACGAGCCCCATAGCCAATTGCCGCCATATACCCGCGTAATTTCGCAGATTGAAATGCATGAAAGACCAGGCTTAGACTACGTAAACCCGCCATTGCGGTGTATTCCATTGTCAAATGTATAAAAAGCTTAGAGGTTAAGAACAAGCTCGATATAACGATGCTAAATTACTTGGCAAGTCATTTCTTTGTTGTATTAAATAAGTATGTTTTGTAGGTGGACATCCTGTTCCCCATTAAGCCCTTATCAGCTATGCCAATGCTTGAAAATAACTTGGTCCTACCAGTTTACTGCATCGACATACCACCAAAGACGCAGTGGCTGTTCTATGTATTGTGCCTGATTTCGCTTTAAGAATGATCTGGAATTTACGAAAGATTACTTTTATTTAATGTTTTGATTGAGTATGTTCTATGTATTCCAACATCATGCGTCGTAGGATTGATTGCCGTCAAGTAAACCTATGAGCGATGTTGAGTGTAACTTTGGTTCTAAGCATTTCGCTTGCAGGTGTTGTTAGAGCAATGATCAAGTCAGGGCTGGGGCCGGGCTACAGCCAATCCCGCCCGCTTGCATCTTCTCGCGACAGCTTGCTCCGTAAAGTCCGGACAGTATACTGTAAAGGGAAACGGCACATGTCCGTGACAGCCATTGACGCAGTATATCCAGGCCGAACAGCTCTGATTTCGGTTCAATTTCAAGTCAGTAATCAAGGAGTATAAGTCGAGCATCACTCACACTTGATTTATTCTCTCGATATCTCTTGACAAGCTTTATTTAAGAGACATAACAACAGTAACTCGTTTCATATCCGCGAAGCATTGGAATCTATTACAAGGCCGCCATCATGGGACCGCTAGCACCGCAAGACCAACCAATCTTGAAGGTCAAAGACTTCGTCACTAATCATCATGATACCTACCCGGAGATCTCTCCTAGTAAAGCGGATCTGAGCGGCAAATCAGTATTCATTACAGGAGCGTCTAAGGGGGTTGGCCGGGCTACGGCAATTCACTTCGCCATGGCTGGAGCTTCAAAGATAGCGATTGGAGCGCGCTCGTCTGTGGCGGATCTGGAGCCCGAGATCAAGAAGGCTGCTGCCGAAGCTGGTAGGCCCGAGCCGCAAGTTTTAGCCCTTGAACTGGACGTATCATCCGAGGACTCGGTTCGTAAAGCTGCTGAGGTTATTGGCACCTCCTTCGGAGACAGCTTGGATGTGCTCATCAACAATGCCGGCTACCTCGAGACATGGCTGCCTGTCGCAGAATCTAATCCATTGGACTGGTGGCGGTCATGGGAGGTGAACATCAAGGGCACTTATCTGTGCTGCCGATACATGCTGCCTCTTCTGTTAAAATCAGAAGGCAAGACGTTGATCAATGTCACGAGCGCCGGTGCGCACAACATGTCACCTGGCGCTAGCGCATACCAGACATCGCGCTTTGCGACCTGCCGGTTTACGGAGTTTGTGCACCACGAGTACAGTGACCAGGGACTTGTGGCAATTGCGATCCACCCTGGAGGCATCAAGACGGAACTGGCGCTGAACATGCCCAAGGCCATGCATGCCATCCTGATAGATGAAGTGGAGTTGCCGGCGGATATGATGGTCTGGCTGAGCAAGGAGCCACGAGAGTGGCTGAGCGGCCGGTTCGTGAGTTGCTGTTGGGATGTCAACGAGCTTGAGGGGCGGAAGAAGGAGATCGTCGAGAATGATTTGCTCAAATTCAGGATGAAGGTCTGAAGTAAGCAACCGCCAGAAATATCATTAGTCACCACGTTTGGGTGTTGTATTACTGTACATGTCTATATCTTTGTCTTGGGATAAGATGCTCCACAAGACATCTATAATGCAGGAACAGCAGACTCAAGAGGCTCTCTCTGTGCTTCCCATGCTAGCCAATCCGACCGGGTTGTTCTGTAATCGACCTGTTAGCATATGGATTTCATGATCAAGTATTGCAGGGCTATTGACGTACGGTAGTAGACCCATTCCATTCACCTTCCACACTCCCAAGGCCAGCGCAACCAACTGCATCGCCACATATGCCAACTTTACTTGCAAAATCTTCGCCTTGTTGCTGTCCGTCTCGAACTTTTCAAACGCCTGGTTTGTAGTTATCAAGCCCATGATGGGATTCTTGAATGCCATAAAGACCATCATGATGCTAAAAATCTGGAGCGAGTTACCAGACATGTACATCATGATACCTGTCATGGGCAGATTCTTGATCGGAGCGAGAGCGACCTCCCACGCCTTCTTGAGCTTCAGTGTGTCCATCTCCTCGGGCGTCGGGGGCTTTCGGGCTTTCGTCTCTTTCGCTACATCTCGTTTCTACTCATTCTATTAGTGATTTGAGATGATGCGCAGCGTTCACTGATTGTACCTTAGAGTTGCTAGCTACCGCCTGTGACGGAAAGCCGGGAGGGTCCGAGATGGCACCACTCTTGCCCGACTTGGATGGCGGGGGTGAGGACAGATCCGAGACCCACGAAGGGGGTGGCGATGTCGTCAGCTCAGACATGCTTCCTTTGCTGGCCAATGCGTTCGAGGTATCGGCAGAGGTAGAGAGTGTGTCGCGGTATCATGGGCTGTTACGGCGGGTAGTGATGTGGAAGCGTGGAAATGGACAAAGTGGAAGTTCAAGCTTTGAGATCCACTCAAGAGCCTCGTGCCCGCCCGCCTGGACTGGTGGTTGTTTAGCGCTGCTGGACCGTGCACCTATAGTCAGCTCCCCACCAAACAAACGCACGGAGGGTCTCGAAGCTCCTGCGAAAAGGGGCGACAGAACATCCGAGCAAACCGATTCCATCTCGTGCAAAACCCCCGAGAACACGAATCTTCGACTTCTTCCTCCTTCAATCCAGCGTCAGTCGAATATCTGATCTCGCCGATTGCCCATACTTCGCTTCCGGGCTCGAAGACGGCCGATCCATTGCTCGACAAGTCTCTCCGCCGAATTGCTCCATCGAACATAGCCTCAGAAGTCTCAGGACTGTACAACAGCCTCGCAAAAGATTCGATCGGCGGTCCCATTGCTCGCGCAATTGGGGGACAAGACAGGCTTGATATCCGGGCACAAGGCACTGCCGCATTCCGGCTCGAGACTGTGCTTTTTTGGGCCGGCTGCAGCAGCGACGCCGGACGACATCCTGGCCCGGTGTGCCAGACCGACATCCCCAAGACGAGACTACAACTGCGCAAACCACGGCATCCCGCTCATCAGGTGGACACACGCAAGGTCGGCCTGGGCAGCGTGAGGGGTATTGACCAGCTTTCTGGGCGAACTCTGCTGGGCCTTATCGCCGCCGCCCACCACCCACACATCTCCAATCCAATCCGTTCACGGACCTAGTCGCCGGCTTGATAGCCCTCCCCTCCGTGGGCGTGCTAGGACTCAGCTGGTTGGCTGCTTGCTGGTCGAGAGGAGGAGACTGAGGTTATTCGCCCAGGGCACCACGCGACATCACCGCCACCGCCATGTCGAGCTCCCAAGGTGGAGGGGACTCCAAGCTGTTCGCTCGAGTATGTGACCAACCTTTCTCATTCTCCAATATCGTCACTTGTCTCAGACCTCTCTCTTTGGGCATCCTTGCCACACCTGATTTGTCTCTGCTTCACCTCTTGTTTCTACTCGTTCTATCAAGTGTTTATTTGTTGTGATACCCCATCCCCTACCCTTGCGCGCCTCTACAAACGATATCGCAATGCGCCGTTGCGATTAGACTCGAGCTGCGTCTCATTTCACCACGTCTTCCTCGTCCAGCCTTGAGCGCTCAGCTCCAAGTCTGGCCGCAACACCCAACTATCTTCGAAGTTGAATATGAAAACCCCATTTCCCAGCCCTCCTAGTCCATGTCATCCACCGCCATCATGTTTATGGCATATCTCCCCCCGCCGCCGACGGCGAGCTATAACTCACGCTTGAGAACACAGGGCAAGGTAGCGGAGCTCCGCCTCGAGCTGAACAGCGGCGGCAAGAAGGACAAGAACTACACATCGAAGAAGATCGCTCTTAAGAAGATCGTCGCCAACATGACCATGAGCAACAATGATATGGTCGCCCTATTTCCCGACATCATTGGTTGCATGCACATACCGAGTCTCGAGATAAAGAAAATGTAAGAGCTGGGAGCTGCCACAGAGCGGGCTATACGGGGTGAAGCTGAGGTGCTGACGTGTCTGGATGATTAGGTGCTTCCTATTCTTGGTCAACTACGCGAGAATGCGCGCAGAGATTGCAGTAAAAGCGATCCCAGTATTAGAGCATGTGCGTTCAGTTTCTTTTCATCAACATGAGACCCAAGCTGACAAAGTTAGGACATGGAAGATCCTAACCCCCTCGTACGAGCTCTTGCGCTTCGAACAATGTCGTACATCCACGTGCGAGACTTTGTCGAGGCAACCGTTCCACTTGTCAAACAGTTACTTCGAGACTCGGATCCTTATGTCCGGAAGACGGCAGCATTCTGCGTGGCCAAGCTCTACGACCATGATAGGCACATGGTTGAAGGGTCAGATCTCATCGACAGATTGAACTCCTTATTAAGAGATGACAACCCCACAGTTGTAGCCAGTGCGCTCGCGAGTTTGATGGATATATGGGAGAGGAGTGATGCGATCAAGCTCACAATCGATTACAGCAACGCCTCCAAGATGGTGGCCATTTTGCCCGACTGCTCAGAGTAAGTCTCTAAACTGGTGTATCGTTGCAGGGACTGACAATTTGATAGATGGGGTCAAACCTACATCTTGGAAGCACTGATGTCCTACGTCCCACAAGAGTCAGGGGAAGCTCTACTCTTGGCCGAGCGCATAGCCCCACGCCTGTCACACTCAAACTCTGCCGTTGTTCTCACTTGCATTCGTGTGATATTATACCTCATGAACTACATAGCCGACCAGAAGCAAATATCGGCCCTTTGTCGGAAACTGTCGCCTCCGCTTGTCACCCTTCTTGCCAAGGGACCTGAGGTACAATACCTCGCCTTGCGTAATGCCCTCCTGATACTTCAGCGTCGCCCAGAGGTCCTCAGAAACGATATCAGGGTGTTCTTTTGCAAGTACAATGACCCGATCTACGTCAAGGTCACTAAGCTTGAGTTAATCTTCATGCTCGCGAACGAGAAGAATATCGATGAGGTGCTCACAGAGTTACGCGAGTATGCGACCGAAATCGATGTACACTTCGTGAGAAAGGCTGTTCGCGCGATCGGCAAACTTGCCATCAAGATTGAGCCAGCAGCGAGGAGGTGTATCAACCTCCTGTTGGAACTAGTCGCTACAAAGGTGACATACATCGTTCAAGAGGCTACTGTCGTTATCCGCAACATCTTCCGCAAATACCCCAACCAATACGAAAGCATTATTGGGACACTCTGTGAGCATCTCGACAGCTTGGACGAGCCGGAGGCGAAGGCTGCCATGGTGTGGGTTATTGGACAGTACGCAAGTCGTATCGAGAACAGCGACGCACTCCTCGAGGACTTTTTGTACTCGTTCTCAGAAGAGCCGGTGGAGGTGCAACTAGCACTACTCACTGCAACAGTCAAGCTTTTTATTCAGAGACCAACTAAGGGACAGGAGCTCGTCCCTCGCGTGTTGAAATGGGCAACCGAAGAGACAGACAATCCCGATCTACGAGACCGGGCTTACATGTACTGGCGACTCTTGTCTACCGACATGAACGCCGCCAAGCAGATCGTGATGGGTGAGAAGCCACCTATCACGGCCGAGTCTGAACGTCTCGACCCGCAAACACTGGAAGAGATGTGCCTCAACGTCGGCACGCTGGCGACGGTCTACCTCAAGCCAGTGCAGACTGTGTTCCGCAATGCACGGCCGCGGCGGCTACTCGATTCGCCAGCGCTGCAGAAGCAGTCACTACCACCAAACTCAGGGCCGCTTGCCGGCTTTGATGCCAACAAGAGCCTCAGCATGCTGGGCAGAGGCGGAGAGCCCACAGACATAGACCGTCGCAACCAGGCAGCGGCTGCCGCTAATGGCGCGCCGAACCTGGCCCAGGCTGTCAATGATGCGGATGCCTACTTTGCTGGCATTGGGAGTCAGCAGATGGCGTCGATGAGAATCCAGGAACAGGGTGACTCGTTTGGTGGCAACGGCGGGCATGAGTCGGGGTATGTGGTCAACCAGTACGCGCCGCAGCAGGTACTACAGCCGGCACAGGGGATGGGAAGTAATGGCGACTTGTTGATGTTGTGAGATGAAGAGGTGTGATGTTTGTGGGAGCATATTTGAAGCGAAGCACTATGATGAGCTATAGTAAGACTCAAAATTGACGGCAGTGTTGTCCTGACAATGAATCGATATCCATGGCTCATCTAGGCGAAGATTGATCCAACTTGAAAACGATCCCAGGTTGTCAGTTGCACGGTAACAATGAGAGCTGAGGTAAATACACTCCTGAAAAACATAGGGCTTCATCCACAGCACGGTCAAGCTACGATGCGATCAGCACAGCCGCTAAAAGGCTCGCTTGAAGAAAGACCAGTCCTTGTGTTAGCTGTATAGCACTAGAGCCAATAATCCATAGTAGGCTTTAAAGCATGCTTTGTGAGATTCGAACCTCGTTCCTTGCATATCCCGGCCTGTCAACAATTAGACTCAACCTCAGCAGGGTTCTCCGCATGTTGTTCCCCGTTTCTGGGGAGAACCCTCCGCAAATACTCGTTCTATATTCCCCCGAATTAATATCAACTAAAGTTCTATAGGTTAGACCATTGTTTAGTTCTTACATCGTTCATCAACGAGAAAACATATAGAATGGCTCCTTCAGGTCCCGCTCCTCGATTCGAGGTGAGTGTTGCAAGTGTGCCTCAAGACAGTCATAAGCCGTTAGAAGGTTTGCAATCTCTAGTCAAGCATGAGATTGTCACTTTCTCTCCTCGGCCTGCTTCCCGTGGTGGCAGGCCTCGTCACTGAGCCTGGATCTCTTCGCACCGAAGGAACTAGTACGCCTTTGGGTCTTCACGAAATGACTCCGCGCCTATCATGGCGGCTATCGTCTACATTACGCGGTGATGCCCAGACCGCGTATCAAGTCCAAGTTGCAGCCAGCTCCAGCAAGCTAGATTCTCCCGACTTCTGGGACTCGGGGAAAGTCCTGTCGAACAAGCCTTTCACTACCTACGCCGGCAAAGCTCTTACATCACGACAAGCCGTCTCCTGGCGAGTTCGGGTATGGGATGTCAACGATAAGCCGTCTGTGTGGAGCGAGGCTACCAGCTTCGAGATGGGACTTCTTGACTCAAGCGATTGGACTGCAGATTGGATCACAAATTCCGAGTTTCAGACCGGGGTCAACTCTCTTCCTATGTTCGCAAAGGAATTCGATGTATCGTGTAACGTTGAAAAAGCTCGTCTTTATATCACAGGACTCGGAGTCTTCTCTGCGGAGATCAATGGCAAAGCTATGAGCAAGGAAGTATTGGGACCAGGTTACTCCACTATCAATAGGACCCTGCTGTACAGGGTGTACGATGTCACGAGCTTGCTTCAATCTGGGAGCAACGTTATTGGAGTAGAACTCGGAAAGGGTACATATGACGCTGAAAAGGGGCTTAATAAGAGATAGTAAGTCTTATCAAGGGTTGAGTGTCAGACTTCTATGCTTATTCTGGTCAGTATGAAGTTCACGGTTGCTGCGAAGCCACTACTTGCCAGGTCACAGCTCGAGTTTTCCTGTGCAGGCTCAAAGGTGCAGACTGTTTCAACAGACAACACGTGGCTAACGACAGTCGATGGCCCCCATTTAGAAAGCTCCTGGTACGGAGGCGAGGAATATGATGCCAGGAAGATTATCCCAGACTGGTCAAGTTCGAAAGGCGATCGCTCTACTTGGCAACATGCTAACGTCTCGACTGGTCCCCCTGGGCCTCAAGGGGAGTTGGTGAGCCAAGTGGCTCCGCAGCTGGAGATCACAGAGATCGTCTCTGCGAAGTCAATCAAGAAGGTTGGTACAGTATCGAACCCTCGTCGTGAGTCGTATCCGGCTGAAGGATGTCCAGGTAGGAGCGCAATATGTGTATGATTTTGGCGTCAATTATGCCGGATGGTACACCTTCACCATGAATGGCACGGGAAAAGCAGGGACGCGTATCGTCTTTTATCCTGCAGAGAACATCACCGACGCTGGCGCTCCAGATCAAGCCTCCAGTGGCTCCCCCATCTTTGACGCCTACATTCTTGCAGGATTGGAGACCGAATCCTATACTCCTAAGTTCATGTACCATGGCAACCAATATATCGGGGTGAGTGGCCAGCCTGTGATAGTATCGAGTGTATTGAGCTCATTATTTTTAATTAACAGGTCAACACAACTTGGGAACCAAGTCTATCAGATATGACTGGTCAGGTAATTCGAGCCGTCAACGAGCAGTCTGGATCCGTGACGACTAGCAATCCCCTGTTCAATCAAATCCATGAGATTATTGATCGATCAATCCAAGTAAGCTTTTTTGCAAGATCCCACAAGCTTTTGGAACTAATGAGCACGTAGTCGAACATGCATTCTGTTCTCACTGATTGTCCAACTCGAGAAAAACTCGGCTGGCTTGAACAAGACCATTTTGTTTTCGAGCCCGTCGCTCGAGGCTACGACATCCAGGCCTACGGCCACGACTTCGTTCGTACAATGGCAGATTCGCAAGCTCAATGGGGACCAAAAGGCATGATTCCTGCTACAGCCCCTGAATATGTTGTCTTTGCGGGTCAATGGGAGATCTATAGAAATGACCCCAACTGGGGCAACACGATGATATTATTCCCACTTCAACTTTACCAATATTATGGAGAAAAGGCAGTTTTGTCAAACTACTACCAGATCATGGTTGAGTACATGGAATATCTCGCAACGCGTCAGAAAAGCACCAGTCTCCCGATTATCGACGATGGCGGGCTGGCTGATTGGGAAGGCATTGACACTACAACCCCAACAGGGCTGACAAACACATATGCTTACCAGCAAGCTGCAAATGCTATGAAGAGAATTGCCAAGATTCTTCGCAAATGCTCTGATGCTCGCAAATGGGCGAAGCTAGAGAAAGACATCCAAGCTGCTTTCCATAAAACATGGTTCAACACTACTGGAAGCCCGCACTACTCAGCTAATAGCCAAGGGTCAAATGCTTTGGCATTAGATATGGGAGCTGTACCAGCTGAACGTGAGCATGATGTCTTTGAGTCCTTCCTTGGCTCGCTGGAGGCGGCGAATTGGCACTTCACCGTCGGCGAGGTTGGACTGCCTGCGCTCTTCAGGGTGTTGATGGCACACAACCGTAATGATGTGCTTTACACACTCATGAGCCAGACTACAAAGTCGAGTTACGGCTATCAAATCTCACAAGGCGCTACTAGTCTCTGGGAACACTGGTGAGTTAAGACTGGTCCATATGATCTATTTCCTACTGATCTATACAGGGATGGCAACAACGCGGGCGTCGGCTCCCTCAACCATTTCATGTACGGCTTTGGCGACATGTGGCTTCAAAGACTGAGTGGACTGGCCCCAGCGGGTATTTCGGTGTCATGGGATGTCATCGACTACGCTCCCATCATTGTTGGCGACTTGACAAGCGCGAGCTCGAGCTACCGAACGCTGGCTGGTTACGCGAATGCCAGTTGGACCCGTGCAGGCAATCATTTAACGTATGATATTGTCGTCCCTGTTGGTGCAAAGGGGGTAGTCACACTTAGCGGGACTGGGATCACAGAAAGCGGAGTAGATATCACGAGTGGTAAGTCCGGTATCCTGAGTTATCAGATGACTAAAGACGTCACGACAATTGAGGTTGGATCTGGAAGTTATAGTTTCTACAATACTATACAGTAAGGTATACAATAAGACGACAATGCATGAAGGGTGCAAATCCATTCAATCCGAACAATTATGTTGATAGCAAATAAATCTTTTTCGATCTATACCGTACATGAGCATACAATTCCTCTTTCGGGCTCAGCAATGACCTGCAGGCTCTATGAATATGGTCGCCATGTACCACATCGGTCATAGAGTTGCTCGTGGTGGGAGACCTTGGTTCAAGTGTGGCAGAAGATAGCCTTGCGGGTGATATGCACAGCCTCATGCCACACTTCCCAAGTTAGAAACCAATTTGTTGACGGTACTCTTACGATCACTCAAGAATGTCGTCTGCCTCAAGTGAAGTGCCATATATACAGCCAAGAGTTGAACGGCGTGGTGCTAGATATATTACGTAGCAGGAGAGGCAGTGTCTGAAAATGTAAGATACGAGAGACATATAGATTTCAGACTTCAGGTTGAACCTAAAGAAAGAAATCCTGTATTAGACAGCATGTAGATACTGCGACATATAAGGCTACAACTATTATTAGTAAGGAACGTCGTGTGACATAGCCCTATCTCATATGTGTGGGCTGGCCTGTCCTACGGGAAAGCAACTAAATCCTGCCTGAAAGCCACAGCGCGTGTCAGGGGTGCTTGGGGTTGGTAGGTGGTGGTTGGGCATGATTCTCTGTCTGCGTAAATGTAGGTGTGGGTGTAGTTCTTCTACACACACTTTCTCCCACCACTCGCAGCCTCGGGCTGCTTCCAAGCGAGTCTACTCAGATGAGTCACACGACGCAGCACCTACTCTGTGAGAGAGGGAGATATTCGATTGTGTGAACCCTATTCGGAAAGGGTGAACGAAATTCTAGCATGGGCCAATAGTGGCTTTCGGGTCCACGCCGTTCTCTGAACAGGTTGTCATGAAATGTCAGAATTGCCAAATGTCGTCATGGTGTTTTCAGCCTCGCGTTTCGTGTGTGTTGTTGGTAAATCCTTCGTGTGTTTTTGGTCGGTCCTTCATCTGCCGAGACGTACAGCCTCGCTGAGCATGACCAACGAAAGCGGCGGCGCTTAGGCTACAGCGCCCAGTTACAGACGTCAACAAGCCCTCCGCACCACAACCAGCGCCAAAACAATCCAAAAGCACATTTTCTCCTCAACGGCATCATTTCAGTCCTCACGATCTGTTGCAAATATTCCTGTTCACCGACATATTCCCAAAGTCTTGTCTGGACAATGCGGTTTGCCATTGGGGTAAATGCTGCGAGGGCTCTTTCAGTATCCCCTAGTTTCCAACAGCCACTAGGCAATGCACGCCAAGGTGTAGCCTCAGACAAATCGCTTGCCCTAGAGGACTTACCAGGGGGGTCCCCCATGAGTCTCTGCGCCGTATCAAGACCGACCGACCTCTTCAATATCACATCCGTCGAGGTCACTAAGCAGCCCATTTACATGTGTGTTGACATACTCCGATATAGGTAATTTACTCATACTTGATAGCGATGACGACTTCCTCTTTCATCTCTATGGTACCTTTCAAGGCACGTGGAGTGGCAATGCTACCATCACCGCCAGAGCAGACTGCGGCTCGCACTGCGAGGAATACGGTGCTCCACCTGGCGAGAGACCCGGTGAAAGCTATACAGACATCTTCTGCCATATGAGTGAGGTTGAGCAGCCTCTGGGCGGTAAGAAAAAGAACGAAACTTGTCCGCCTGAAATAGGTTATGCTCTAATCACATCGCCGGGTTATGTCATACCAATGTTCTTTAGCGCTCCTGTAAGCTCATGTCTGAACCCTAGTTATTGAAAATAGCTAATCTGGTAGGGGTGGTACAACTTTACGTTTGATGCAAAAACTGCTGCAGGCGAAAGGATTTACTGTTTGACGGCCGAAGTCTGCTTGAGATGGGAAAGTCCGGAGAAGAACAAAGGCTATCCTCCAGGGCCGTGGAGTAATTGTACATGGCCACGATAAAGTAGGAAGTTTTGTATTGTAACATGGATGGACAATTCTTGGATCCAAATAGAGTAAACTCAAGGCGAGGTGCCTGCACTCCCTGAAATCGTCGATTTCACTCTAGTGAACTTTGTTATGACGACTTGATATACACGCATCTCTACCGTTGGTATATCAATTTCGCTATATACACGGTCTCGAGCCTCCCCTCATCGCGTCAGTGTTTGCATTCTAACTGCTCAAAGGCAGACGTCAAATATGTCGACAAGATGGCTGAGAGTATTGTCATGCTCCCATTCGGTGTATATGTGCCGCTAGACTAGGGTGAAGGGCCCCCACACCAACCGTCGGATTCCGACGCCCTCAAGTAGCTTACGAACACTGCAACCAAAAATAAGAACTACTGGTTAGGGCAGGCACTGAATTCATAGTGTTACATCGACATGATATACGCCGATCTTGAGATGTTAAGATGCAGCGTCGCGTATCGCAGCGAAAGTCACTGGCATGCCGCGGTAAATAATCTTCCACATCTGTCGGAATCAGTCACTAATGAAAGTATAGAATGCACACGGAAGAAGAGAAAATGCGATAAGAGCATTCCATGCACGAGGTGTACACGTCTTGGCCTTCAATGCGATCGCGAACGTGTCTATCTTAGACGCGATGTTCATCGCAACGCTGCAGAAATCGAGTTTCTGGCCAGTGTACGAATAGATCTACAGAGTTCACGTCCAGAAGAAGTCGAAAAGGTGATCAGTAGGCTCACGGAGAGGATCGAAAGTCTCCGAACTGGCCGAGCTGCCAGGGACGGTAGCCACACTTAACTAGAGCCGATCGATGATCAAGACAACAATTCTGGAATTGGTCCGAAAGATACAAAAACCATCGACAGCAATGACCAGGATTCACTGATAGTCACTGCCCTTGAGCACATAACTTGGGGCCGGAGCTATGGAAGCTGCTATCCCCACCGTCGTTGTGCCTGCCAGTATCACCGAAATTGGTCTGAACTGTCATCGATCAACACTCAGTCGTTCGAATATGCGAGATCGCCTTTAGCTGCAAAAGTCAATCTTCCTGACAGGAGGCTAGCGGAGATTCTCGTCTCCTTTCACATAGAGCACATCGCGTGGCACCACAATTGCATACACTCTCCTACCTTCCTTCAACAATGTACCATCTTCTGGGAGACGGGCGAATGTGATCAGCTTCAATGGCTTGCACTCTATTGCGCCATACTCGCAACGTCTTTATTCTGTCTGCAAAATAGCAGGAAACATCAGGCAATCTACTTGCCAGATGCCATCACGTATTCGCCCCAAGATCTTTTTCAAACCATGACCGATATCCTATACGAGAGCCACTTCTTGCAAAACGTTTCGCTATATTCGGTGCAAGCAATCATCATTTCAACAGAAGTTGCCCATAACCTTGGACAAAGTCAGCTCAATGCAACTCTGTTCAGTGCCGCAATCAGGATGGCGGAGTGCCTAGGCCTTCACAAGATTGATAAAGACGACGTATTGTCTTCCGATACTCATTCCGAGATATGGCATGAAGCACTTGAAAAAGAGGTTGGTCGAAGGGTCTGGCTTCAGATGGTCATTCAGGACCATTTCGCCATTCCCTTCACGGACTCCTATGGAATTCATCCTGCCCAATATTCCACAAGCTTTCCAAGCAACGCCGATGACAGTGACCTCAGAGAGATGCCGAACAATATACCGACCGTGAGCACATACACAAGAGTTCTAGGTACTATCGCTCAGCTTATGCCTGAGTTGGCGGATGGTATGGGTTCTTTGAAGAACCGCAAGCCGATTCATGAGCAACACGCTCATGTTCTTCAAATGGATCAAAAGATGAGGCAAACTGTACGGGACATGCCTCGCTACCTGCTGCAGCAAGACTTAATATTGGAGGCTCAGTTGCCATGGCTTGGTATTGCACGGCAGAGCCTTGCAATCACCGCCGCCGAAAAGGTTTGCCAAATTCTCCTCCACCTGTTCAGACTAACCGAGACAGATTATAATGATCCATCGTCCTTTTATTTTCAGATCCTTTCAGTCCACAGTCTACGCTCATACACGTCGTACATGTGTTTCCGCCGCCATGACGATTCTGAGAGAACATAAAGCCATAACAGACTCGGGGGAGCTGTCATTATGGACCCACACCGCGTTCTGCATCACGGCCGCACTGATTCTTTCTTTTGAGGTCATGTGTGATGAGGCAGGGAGTTTAAAAGAGAGAAAAATCATCTATGTTAACAACATTCGTGACGCTCGACGACGGCTTGCAGAACGGGTGAATGATGTGCTAGCTAAACGAGGGGTGCTTCTTATTGATGCTGTCTGTCCAGAAGCTGATGGTGCTGAAGTCATTCTCAGTGGAAATACAATAAGAGGAGCGAATGCGGCTACTATCAGCTTTGAAGAGATCGTGGCTAGGTTGACCACAGACTGGGCGATCTTAGGCTTGAGCACAGAGATTCAGGCTTCGGATACCTCGCTCGTTTCAAGTCAGCTTACATTCAACGACGCTCCTGCATCCGGTTTCCAAGAATTTGATGGATGGTTTCATCACATGTTTCTTGGAAATATGGATTATGAAAATACTTTTGGCTGAGAGAAGATATGGTAAGGCAATAGAATGAGAATAATTATGTTAGACAACGAAGTGATCCGCTGGAAACATAGCTATTTACACTTAGCAAAACCTGTCTCATTCAAACCGGGATATTTCCTGAAAGCCTTCGGTGCTGTACCGCTAGTCATTGTGCATTGCCATAGAAGCCGCTTCTTGTCGTCATCATTCCTGTGTTGGGCCAGCTGTCCTGTGATGCTATGCATCACACCTCGATTGTGGAAGATGACCAGATCTCCTTGTTCCCAACGATGGGCATAGATGTTCTCAGCTGCCCAGATTCTTTTCTGAAATCCATACACAATCTTTCTGACTTCAGCAACATCATCAATTACAGACTCGATTCCTGTCATTGGGTCTCGGGTCGTCAATCTATAAACGCAACAGCCATGTACTTGTAGGAATGGTCGGTCGGGATTTTCTGGATTTCGCCAAACCATCTGTGTCAAAACGATTAGTCACTATCTCGGTTAAGTTTTCGTCTTCCACATATGTAACTCACAGGATGTTCGGCAACTTTATCCCAGTTCCACTCTGACAGCTGATCAACAGGGATCTCTCGCCCCATGTGTGGTATTGATAATCCATCTTCCGTGGCTTTGCAGTTTCGGATGTATTCATATGCTTGCGGCGCATAAGTTACAGTGGTATTGAGGGCAAACTCCTGCTCTTCATGAGTGAGAAGCTCAAAGGCCCGAGCACCGGAGAAAACTGAGCTCATTGCGATTAGACAATCTCCATGGTTTCGTCTCAAAGCAGAGGCGAACTTACAAGCAGTTGCTCCAGCCCCGATTTCTTTCACCTTCCCATCCGGGAATTTTAGAAACTGGTCAGGGAGCTTTGGTACCTTCACCGCGTGGAGAATTGTTACTTCTCCGGGCAATCTTTCGTAGAATGGGGTATCCATATGCCATCTGTACGGACGAGTGAAACCATCGTCCAGTTCCTCCTGGGACAATGGCTCCTCGTGAAACAGCGTATGGTCCTATTTGTCTCACATGTCAGAGATACAATCATTGACATGCGGCCATTGTAATACTTACCAAATGTATAACATCCAATTGCTCGATTCCTTCATAGTCCGAGAACGTGCCGCTGCCTATAATTCCCACCTGCGGCGCTCTTGGGATTCTACCAGCTTTATAAGCTGATAGAATATTCTTCGGATTGCTAACAGCTTTCTCACCAGCTGAATGGACATCGCTTGCTGTTGGATCGAAAATTTTGGCTAATTGGGGTAAGACTGCTGGCTCGATACCTCCTTGGTTTCTGATTACGACAACTTGGTGATGAAATAGAGCTTGACGAAGCGTTGACTTGTCATTCTCTGTCAAAGAACCGAATTCTAATATAGGCATTGATGAGGGAAGGTGAATTTCCGCACCGATTGCCGATGATTGGCGGAGTTCAGAACCGAGCTTCTCGAAGGAGATGCCAGTGGGAAGATTGAGGCCGGGCATTTTGAATCGGGAAAAGTGCGGTCAACAATACTCTTTGCGTTACAGGCGATCAGCAAAAGGATGTTTGTCTACGGGTGTTTGTGCTTTAATATAGCCACCGTCTTCGCTTGATCGGCTGCACCCGGGGTGAGCTGCGGATGAGTTGTGGAAGCTCGTCCGCACGATAAGAATGGACATAAGCAGCCTCTGTTTCAACTACCCGTCGGTTTGCGACGCACACCCAATACTATCATCTGATTAGTTGGTTCTGCATAAGTCAGAAGGCGTGTGTAGCACGGTGCGCCAGTCTGGCCTACGGCAATCATTGGTCATCACAGATTCCGTGCGGGCGAGTTAGGACTCACTAACCCGCTCATTACGATCACCACACCAGTTGCTGTATCGCTGCTCGCAAGGAACGCTGCTATAAAGCTCTGGTATCTTTTCGATCTTGATTACCTTTTGTATCATCCAAGGTTTTTAAAACAACATCTTCAAAATGGGGTCCGTGGGTATCCAAATTGTTTCACTTCCCAAGCCCTTCGCCGGTTCGTCCGTCGACTTCGGAGTCGAAATTTCAGGAATTAACCTCGAGCACATCAATGGTCGGTTACATATCACGTATATGAGTCCTGAGGTCTAACCATCAATAGACGAGAGTTTTTCTACTTTACGATCGATGCTATACCGACATAGCGTTGTTGTAATCAAGAACCAGCAACAACTATCTTCCAAAGCACAATTCGAGTTGACCCGCCGATTCGATCCCGATGCGAGCGTCTACAGTCACGGGAAGAGCATAGACAAACGTAGTGTTCTACACAAAGACTTAACAACTATTCCAACACAGCCCCAAGTCCAGGTCATTGGGCATGGCACGGTCGATCATTTCGAGGGACTTGAACACTTGCAGCTTCGTCACCCACATCACAATACATTTCACAAGTATCCCATAGCTCCGCAAGACGACTTAAAGTACACGCATTTCTACCGGTGGCATATCGATTCAGCTATGTACAGTCTCGATCCTCCTCTTGTCACATCACTGTTTGCGAGCAAAGTCCCCAAAGGCAGACGCCAGATATGTCGATATGATGATGAGACCGGAGAGGAGCTTGAGGTTCCACTCGGCACAACTGCATTCATTAGTGGTTACCGCATGTATGACATGCTTTCGGACGAAGATAAAAAGTTCGTGAAAACCAGTCGAGTCGAGTATGCGGCTCATCCTTATATCTGGATGAGCAAAGCTAAAGCGAGATCAAATGGCCTGGGTTTGTTCTCAGATGATCTAGAGCTGTCAGATGATGAGCTGCCTCCGATAGACGAAAGCGACATTAGAGTCTATCCTATGGCTTGGAAGAATCCTGTCACAAATCAGCTTGCAATGATGGTGTACCCAACACCTGCCAGGAAAATTCATCTTCAGGGTGGAAAAGTCATCGACGACCTAAAGAAGGTGAGGGACATACTTTACCGCCTCCAGCGGCCGGCAATAAGTCCACAATATGTGTATCCTCATGACTGGGAGGAAGGTGATCTGGTTCTTTTCAACAATCATGGTGTCATGCATTCAATCGTGGGCGCATTTGCGGACGATGAAATTCGTTTATTCCGTCAATGCAATATGGCTGCGAGTCGGCCTCCAACGACAACTTAGACAGGAACACGTAAGACAGGTATTGTCGAGAATTTCATCAGGGGCATTCTCTTATGATGCTTCGTAACAAAAACCGCAATTTGCAAATCCAGATATGACGGCTTTTACTATGATATGCTACATGAGGGTCCTTGAGTTTGCTGTCTGTACTTGCAATGTCCTATTCCGTGTTTACCCCTGAATTCAATGATGTGGGGATGGTCCGTGTCCATTCCGAACTCCGAATCGGCACGAGTTGGCCGCATCACACGGATTCCAGCTCAATCTCGAATCCGCTCCGTGTCCGGTGAGACCACCGAGTCGAATAGCGAAAGGAAGCGGAGGAGACACCGTCGCCGAAGCCGTGTCCAATTGAACGGTGCCATACTCATATGCTGCCGGTTCTTGCCCTAGGCTAGTACAGTATTTGACCACCTCATTTGCTTCTTGGCATTTCAACATAATATAATACACCTACGGAGGAACTCATCGATATCTTTTTTCTTTCACATGTTCACTTCGGCAGCTCCTTTTCATTCGCGGCTATGTCTGCAGCTCAATCTATTGAAATGCCAGGCGCGGCTGAAAAGGAGGTTTTACCCAGACCATTCCCAGCTTCTCAAGAAGACGCTCAAAAAGACAACGAGACGCAAAGAAAGGAATATCACAATGCAGGGAACGCGCATGAATACGTGAAAGGGGTGAAACTGTTCAGTCTGATGGTTTCGGTCACTCTGGTCTCTTTCCTCATGCTCCTTGACATGTCCATCATTGTCACGGTACGGTATCATCCCTGACCCAATAGGAGTGCCACACTAAGGCATTGGCAAAGGCAATACCAAGAATCACGACCCAATTCCATTCGCTACAGGATATTGGCTGGTATGGAAGTGCTTACAATTTAGCGAGGTGAGCCCACGTTGCGATATTGCCAGCGAGACAAACACTAAATAATCTCCCAGTGCTGCTCTCCAGCCTCTCTCAGGAAAATTGTACACTTACACTAAGTGCAAGGCACGTCACTATCCACTCGCCCTTTTCCATTTTCTTAAAAGCTAATGAGAGCGAACGTAGTGGACTTATCTTGCGTTCCTCTTCGTCTTCGAGCTCGGGTCCCTCATTTGCGGAGTTGCAATGTCATCAAGAATGCTTATCGTCGGGCGAGCTATCGCGGGAATAGGGGTCTCTGGAAGCCAGAATGGCGCTTTCACCATAGTTGCTGCTTCCGTTCCTCTAGAAAAGAGGCCGGCGTTAATGGGTATGCTTATGGGAGGTTCACAGCTTGGTCTCGTCATTGGGCCATTGATTGGGGGAGCTTTAACGGAATATACAACTTGGAGGTGGTGTAAGTCACCGATCTAAACAGTCCATGGTTGCTCTCGTTTTGCTGATGATGCTGAAGGCTTCTACATTAATCTTCCCATCGGCGGTTTGGCTGCACTCCTGACTCTCCTCGTCCACATCCCTGACCAGCGTGTGCAAATCGACGACTCATTTGCCAAGGTCCTCAGATCCAAGTTCGACTTTGTTGGGTTCTTCATATTTGCGCCCTGCATAGTCATGTTTCTCTTGGCTCTGCAATATGGCGGTGTTGACTACCCCTGGAAGTCTGCTACCGTCCTCGGTCTCTTCTGCGGGGGTGGTGTGACCCTGCTGATATTTCTTTTATGGGAGCGACACATCGGGGATGACGCTATGATACCTCTTCCAGTTATTCGTCAGCGGGTGGTTTGGACTGCCTGCTTGACGATGGCATTCCTCTTCACCAGTGTCTTCGTCACTTCATACTATCTACCAATTTATTTCCAGTCTGTGAAGAACGCGTCCCCTTTCACCAGCGGCGTGAACATGCTTCCGGGTATTGTCAGCCAACTTGCTTTTGCAATCATCTCTGGTATCATGAGTAAGTAGGTTGCTACTATGATCTAGAGGATTCGTGACTAACGCCTAAAAGCGCAGAAAGTTGGATACTATCTCCCATTTGCCGTCTTTAGTGGTGCCGTTGTCGCCATCGGGAGTGGTTTGCTTTCCACCCTCGGCCCTCAGACCTCGACTGCGAGGTGGGTAGGCTACCAAATTCTCGTTGGCTTCGCCCGTGGGGTAGGCATGCAGATGCCCATCATCGCGATCCAGGCAAACACCCCTCCGGCTGTTACGCCTATTGCAACGGCGATACTGGTCTTCTCTCAAACTTTCGGCGGCGCCGTCTTCATCACCGTCTCCAACGTCATCTTCAACAACAAATTGAGGTCTGAGCTTAACTCACGGCTGCCCGATGTCAATGCAGACATCGTCATTGACGCTGGTGCGACAGCGCTTAAAGATATTGTTTCTGCCGCCGACTATCCTCAAGCTGTGGTGGCGTATGCGAAGGGCGTAGATGCCACGTTTTACCTTGCGGTTGCTGGGGCTGTGATGATGTTCTTCTGTGCATGGGGCACGGGATGGAAAGATATCCGCAAAAAGAAACCTACGGACACGGGCGATACCTGAATGGCAACTATAGCACCACCCCAGTACCAATACGGATTCTGTGATCCATAGAATTCCATTCATATAAGCGGGCCGATGCTGCTGCCGCTTTAACCTATGCTATGAGGGTCAGGAAGTCGGCTTCGAGATGTCTCATTTTGCCAAACCTAGAAATACCTGACAAGAATGTGTTATTAAACATATTCAAACTTTCCATTATAATTATATGATACTAAGCTAATATAAGCTCTGGCAGTGCGGATGCTTAGTGTTTATGATTGGCGGCGTGTAACAATCACTGCAATGATGCGATCTCTACAGTCCATAAAAACACCAACACTATTATAATGTAGAAGTCTGAATATGGACCTCTGAGCTTTGGTTACGCTCTTGGCTTTCCGACAAGTTCAATCAGGGGCAGAATGAACCTTTCAACAGCGCCGGAATTCACAGTCCAGCTAACTCAACACCCGACCTCGGCTCTCGGAGGCTTTCTCCGCTTCTTCCTTCAGCTTCTCCTGGAGTTCCTTGGCCTTGGTTCTGAATAAGAGACTCTCTGTGGGATCGGCATACTGCACGATTTTCGTGATCTCTGTACCATCATCATTGAAATCCAGGAACCAAGCAAATTCCAAAACAAGTTTCTCTCCGTCAACAAATTCTCCCTGATCCACAGTCCTCGCCGCAGCTTTCCTGCCTTCTACATCAATGGTCAAATTGAATATTTCAGTCGAAGTCACCTGCCAAATAGGCATCTGCCTCTGGTAAGCTGCCTGGTAATCAGCATTGCTCAAGGACGTTCCGGGAGGTATCCCGTTAGATTCGCGAAATGCTCTCGAAGCTAAGAATCTCCGACAATCAGACGATAAATGGACTGAAATGGAGCTGGGGTCGTTTGTCTTGGCTGCAGTCTCATAGCATGAAATAAATTCAGTTGTGTTTTGCTCTATTAAATTTCGGATGGTAGAAAGTGAGGTGGAGGCTGCCATTGTGCCTCCTGTTCTCGCATAATAGTAGATCAAGGAGGATATTTTGAACAGAGTTTTTGAACTTTACAATCTTTGAGAAAAGAATTGAAGAAGATGTATGGAAAGGACGGCCATTTATCATATCTAGTCAGGAAGCGGGACGTTACCGCATCTGGAAATCTAGACGACGGGTGATGTTGATTGGGCGTAGATGTATAAGCGTCAAATGCAGATGCATCTGGTGTCCCACAAGGATTACTTGAATCTCACCCTACTGGGCAGCCTCCTAGACCAAGCGAGACGGTCAAATTCGTCCGAGCCTCCTGCATCGCTGTTATGGCAACCACACGGTCTCTCTCACACGTCCGGCGAGGGAGCCGCACTTTACCACGTACTAGAAATGGACGATGGACACAGGTCAGATGTAAGATGTAGAAGGAAAATCATAGAGACTTATTATTCCAGACCAAGCGGTGCTAACGAGTACTCAAATTGTCAAGGTTACCTTGCTTAAAGGGTCTGCTTGATATTGTTTGTCGATCGCGATTGTATTTTGTAGGTAAAGGCTGATATCAGCGTCTGAACCGTAAAAGTGATCACTACTCGTGGGAGCATCGGCGTCATTAAATCAATCATAATAATTCATTGAGTAGCCTTCATTTTGGTTTAGCTAGGCATCTTCATTCAAACCGTCTTTCCTCGCCCTTGAACCGAGTATTCGAATTTGCATTTTAGCGATCTAAAACCTAGAAATTGTCACCCACGAGTCTCATGACAGGACCCAAATATGTTTCCCACTGCGACCAATCATCATAGTCGGAGCCAGGCTTGAGAATCGACATGAGGAATCGATAATCTCCATTAGGCAGATATTCAAATGTGTTGCCGTCCGGACCGATTGTGTGGTACCAAGCAGCTCCTGGACAGACATAATTAGTATCTAAATCAAGCAAAAGAGTGGTAATCTGGCTTGGGGGGACTTACCCCAAAGGAAAGGAGAGTATGACTGATACGGGAACGAGAACGGAGTGTCCTCTCTCGGCGCGTAATTGTTGTACTGCGTCTTGTCTGGGATCCATCCATAGCTGGGCATGCCCATCCAGGTATCATGAGGAGTGATACCAGGGTCCATGTACTTATACCCAGAGCTCTTGGCAGGGCTTCCACCGTGGTGAGTGGGCTTGAATGTGGTGTTGGCGGGGACGATGTTGGTCTGGAAATGCTGGAAGCCAGTTCGGATGTTGAACCATACCGTGGGGAAGTACCAGTCAGTACCGTTGTACTCGGCATATCCGGTGTTTGGTGCTCTGCTGAGACAGGTTCCGCAGTACACGAAAGGCTGTGCTGCAGAATAGGTCACACCATCAGCATCCTCATAAGAGAAGACAGAAGTGTCGAAAGCAGACTCGTCTTGACGAGAGTACGGTGTCCCAAGATATGGAATCGTATGAGTCTCTTCATCAGACGTGAGCTGGAAGAAGCCAGAAATAAGAGGTGTTTTTGCAATTTGGTCTTCCGTAAGAACAGTCTTGGCAATATACGCTCGGAACTCCAGCGTCTCACCTGCGTGCACGGTGATTCTAGTCTGGGAGAAGCGGGCAGTGGCGTAGGTAGAATATTGAGGCTGACCCAGCTGGTTCCAAGAGTTGGGGTCAAGAAGGTCGGGGTATGGGAATACTTCGACGTATCCCGCTCCTTGGTGTGTGATCTGGAAGACTTTCTTCCCCGAGGTCGCCTTATTGGTAATGCTGATGGTGTACGGGTTTCGAGTGTAATCATCTAGGTCACCTAGACTGACTTGAGATGGAGTTACTAGTGTACCGTACGTGATGGCTTTGTAGGGGTTGACTATTCCAGCGCCCTGGTGTGCAACACTTGAGAGAATCGACTTATCATAGACATATGACATCGGCGTTGCGGTTGACTGGAGTAAACTGCCGATCTCAGCCACAGAAAGATCAGGGTACTGTGACTTGACAAGGGCATAGCATCCAGCAACAAAAGGAGCCGCCATGGATGTGCCGGAGATGATCGCGTAACCAGCAGAGGGGCCCAGAGGCCATGTTGACAGAATCTTTCCGCCAGGGGCCGAGAGTGAAGGCTTCACCAGGAGCGTATCCCATGAAGGACCAAAACTGGAGAAGTTGCTCATCATTCCGCCAGTAAGCAGCTCCATGCTAGTGGCAGCCGGGCTGGTGAAGCTGAGCTTGTATGACGAATCGGCCTGGAGATTCTTCACAATCTGCGCACCAGCAGTGGAGTTGACAACGATCGTGGCAACGCTTGGGAACGGAATTTGAGTCTCAATATCTTCGGCAAACGGAGAGGGATCGAGACTCTCTAGGTTATATGCAAGGAGATACTGTATTCCAAATGCAGATGCTCCGCTCATTTGTGTGCCCAGTGCACAGCTTCCTATTTCTGCGACCACGATAGTAGTGTTGGACTTGGCTACAGCTGCACCAGTTGCTTGCCACTATATCATCGGCCGTCAGCTTTGTCTCGAAACATGCATGAAAAGATAGCTTACTGCTGCATAGGTGCACTCACTACCATGGTGGTACACCTTCAGTTCAGGAGCATCCAGAGGCCAGACAGAGCCGTACTCGAAACTCGAGCCTGTAGAATCCTTGCCAGTGTACACAACTGGAAACACATCATTTGTCACAGAGCCTACGGCAATGACGCCTTCACCATCGGCGGGCGACGACTCAGCATAGAGGCCGAGGTCTCCGTCGTTTCCGTTAGAGACGACAAGACCGATTCCTTGGTCGATAATTGCCTTGATGAGATCGGTGTACGGAGAGTTAGCCACAAAGTATGATGTGAAGCCGAGAGACATGCTGATGACATCTACACCGTCCTCCGCTGCCTTGATCATGCCTTTCATGACGATATCATCGGCAGTGCTGGACTGCAAATACCAAAATTAGCAAATTATTGAATTCAGCTTTATGAGGATTATGTACCGTCATGCAGCTGAAGACCTTATACATGTACAGAGTTGCCTCGGGAGCCACGCCGCTGATCCCAAAGCCTGTATCTACAGGATCCTGCATACCAATAATGCCTTAAAAGAGTCAGAGTCAAATCAGGGTATGAACGGGGGTATATAATCGCTCACCCGATGTGTGGCTGCCATGTGCATTTGAGCTGCAGGTGGACAATGGGTCAGGGCTCTCAATGGGATCCCTTTGGCCATACCAAGCGTCGTCTACGAGAGAGTAGCCTCCCGCAATCTTGAAGCCGGGCCCAAATCCACCACCCAGGGATGGATGACGATAGTCCACACCTAAACGGAATTGGGGTTAGTATCTTGCGTATGTATGTATCTATGAAATGTGGTTTAACGCAAATCATTTTACTTACCCGTATCAACAACGCCAATCTTAATTCCTTTACCCTTGACACCCATATCATGGAGCTTGTCAACATCGGCCATCTTGTGTGTTGACTGGACATTGGCTCCCTTGATATAAGGCAAAACGGGACTATCATCAGTGGGCGTCCAGTTGCCATAGCTAGCCATCACAGTGTTGGCATTCTCGCTAGCAAAAGCCGAGAAATCAGGAGCGATCGCCGGAGACGGCTTAGACACCTGGCGGATGGGCCAGATAGCCTTAACCTCCGGGATGTCACTCAGGATGCTCTGGACCTCGTCCGTGGTCTTGTTCTGGCTGAGCTGGATGGAGACGCCGTAGAAGAGCTTGTCGTTGGTGAACTCGTTGCGGACCTTGTAGTCGAGCCCCAGGGATGCCCGCTTGTGGAAGCGCTCGTGGGGACTCCTCCTGTCGAGGCGCTTTGTGAGCGAGGCATCGTTCTTCAGCTGGACAATGAAGCCGCCCTGCGCGGTCTCTTTGGCGATGAGGTCGCCCGGCTTGATCAGGGGAATGTCTGGCAGAGTTGCGGAGTTGACGGCGGCAGCTGATGCCAGCAGTACAAGGGCGGAGAGCAACATCTTGGAGGCGCTCTTGATATACCGGAGCTCAGCGCTACAGCACAACCTACTCTGAAGCCATTGCTTTCGAGGGCCATGCTTCTTTAAGTCCCTCTCTCGAGAATCAAGCTTTGGTTGTCGACGGGGACGCGGCCCGACAAAGTTGAAATTCTTATCACAAAAAGGGCCATGATCAAGTTAAGACCATCAGAAAGAGGAAGGCCCATGTATCTTGCACGGCGCGAAGCTCTGGAGCTAAGCTTGCGATGGCAAGAGAGGCTCCCATGCAGGGACCTCGATCCAAAGAATGCCATAGCTTCTACAGGAGAACCTACCTGATATAGGGAAGGTCAAAGCGCGTCATGTCAGGAAGAGACCCTGCTTGCGCATCTGAAGGGGAGTTATCGAATTTCTTAGCACGCTATCTTGAGGAAAGCTTGTATGTGCGGCCATTGCACCGTTGAGGCCCAGACTTCTTGACCTTCCTGTTTGCGCGCGTACGCTGACCAAGTTAGCTAGATCCATGCTTACGATCAGGATCCTGAGATGCACGCAAGTCTGGTAGCCAGGCAGCCAAGCGAGAAGGGACCCTGGAAAGAGACCCCTGGGAGGAATGATAAGGTGTAGGCCAGCACCAGGTTGGACCGAAGTCGGAAAGTAGTAACGAAAAGTGTCGGCCGTTCTTTTGTCTTGGCGTTTTTGCGGCTCCCTGAGCCCGTGCCGCAGAGTGTCACCGCCGCGAATGACGCCGAGTCGTCGTTGGGACTCTTGACAGCCAGCTGCCGTCTTCGTGGGGTGGGTCTGGTGTATTTGCTGCTGCAGCTTTAACGTATGTCAAGGGGGGACGGCTGGTGGTGTGTGTGCCTGCTGGTGGGGGGTTACCAGGTTGACATGCTTATTTATAAACATATGGTTAGCTTCCGATGCACAGTACTGTAGCAGTGTAGCATATTATACGAAGCTCACTACCCCTCAACAGTTCGGGTTTGGTTCAAAGGTCAATTGTTCTTACTTGGGTGGAGAGTTGATTGGTGGTATCGCTCATTTTGAGTGACTGATTATTAGATCTGCGTCCAGAGTAACACCTCTAAGCAACAACTACCTCTTACAAAAGATGCTGCTGGCCCAACAGGACGATGACATCACTTACAGAGTAGTACTACTACATCAGCTTCCTGACAACGGCTGTGGCTGGGTTAATTATCAGATGGAAGGTGAGCTACAGTGAGGAATCGTCGAGATACCGGCACATCCGGCGCGGAGAAAACAATGAAACCGGCGGACAGTTTGATGGCACTAAATGCCCGCTCCGGAATTGACCCGGGCTTGCGGATGAGACGAGGAATACATGTGACCCAGCGATTGGGGATTGGCCACGTTTCTCAGTGGCAACAGTGAGTGAAGAGCACATGGCAAAGCATTGATTGAGTCAGTAATGTCTTGCACACGGCGTCTCCCAATCTCCAGCCAACGATCTTCGCGGGAACCAGCAGGTTGGTTATGGCCCTGCCGTTAGAGTAGATGAGATAAATGGACGGGCACCGCCGGGTGAAGCACGAGCCGGAAAAGTTTAAAAGGGTGGTGTTGGTGTTGGTAACTTACCTAGTGCAGTGCCGCCTGCGCCGAGAAGTCCCAATGCCACTCCTCAGTGCTACCAGCCGGTATTAACTTGATGTGCATCAATTGCAGGGGGGCGGTTCAATGATGTGTCTCGTGGTCCCGTGGTCGCCATCTGGCGATCATCTGCCGTGCTTACATACATGAATAAATTGAAAAACTGAGCCCTCCTCGCCCAGACCTGCTTCACCTATTACAGATACTGACTGCAGGTGTGTGCATATGGGAAGACATGCTCTGGGGTTTTATAGCAAGCAGCACCAGTGTGTGGAGTAGCACTGCAGGTCGGAGAATTCCCGACACATCGATCGGAAGAGAGGCGAGTGCGGGACCGGTTCGGCCACCCAATAGACCAACTATTGCAGCTAAGATCGGGCAGGCACTGAATGATTGATTGATTGATTGAATGGGCTATGCAGGGACAGAAGGGGAAGGTGCTGCAAGAAGTTAGGATGCCTTGACCTTTGGATACATGCATTACTATAAGAGTTAGCCAAGTCAGGGAGGTTATACCTCGTAGACTCGCTCAAGATGATGAGCCACTCCGGTCTGTGTCAGGTGGCCCAAACTCTCGTTGTATTGAATGGCGAGGTGGAGGCAGAGTTTGAATGTAGGCTGGGCGGGCTGTCAATCACGTATTCCATTCTTTCTGGAAGACACGGAACGGGCGGGAGGGGAGAATGAGAAGCCGGCAACTTCCATTCTAAAGCCCTTCTCTGCAGTAATGCGGTGCTTAGTGAGGTGAAGTGAGGAATGCTGCTTGTATCTAACCGGCAAGCCAGATACCTCTCATGCTCAGGCCTCAAGAGGCCGCCTCTCCAGTCACCCCCACAGACAGTAGAGACAGAAATGATACGGAGCTGACTGAAAAGCACGCAGCGCACCAATCAAGTAAAGTGAAGGCGAAGATCAGCTTTCCCCAGGTCTCCGGATACCTGTGCCCGGACGCAATACCCGCAAACAGGAGGAGGGCGGGGGGCCCGAGCCTGGGCAACACCTGGGCGGCGGCCAAGCGTGCGGCACCCGTTCGTGACCTACGGCAAACGGTTGGCCATTCTGCCCCTGTGCCGGAGTAGACTTGTTTCATTCATTGTGCTATTTGGACAACTTGCCAGGTAAGGTGAGACATCTGCAATGGAGCACGACAGCGTGGGGGAGAGGACACATGACGCCTCTCCTCTTCACTCTTCAAGCAGAGACGCCTCTAGGAGATGGATAGGAGACTCAATGGAAGACGGCGGTGGATTTCCAAGATGTGCCAGCCATAGCCAACAAGCACAACGATTATGGCCGCACATCTGCGCAGTTTCGCTCGTCAAGGGACAGGGGGCTCAATCCCTCATGCCATGCCCAGCGTTGACTAGACTGCTAAAGTGCCCGACCTGAGTCTAACGCAGAATGTTGGCTGGTGCCGTTCATTCTTATCCGATAGCGTTCATCAGAGATACAGATATTGCTGGTTGTGAAATCCAGGGCGCGGCATGTGTCATAGATTTCTGTTGGTTTTCAAGCTTGGATCGATTGGATTGTCCCCTAACCCTTCAGCTTCCAAGGTTCGCTTGCCTGCATGCTCTCTGCATTGACTGCATATCAAATTCCATACCCCTGGGTAATGACAATTAAGGGAGACGAATGCCATTGCGCGCATTGCAAATTAGGTGTACATCATCGTGGCAAAGAGGTATCGAAAGGGGGAGACTGGCTGATTCAATCATGACAATTACTTGGATACGGTACACATGTTTCTCCAACCTGATATGAGCATCCAGTCTTTCCATCGATGCCTTGATTTGATTCCAGTACCGGTACGCTCGCATGTCCTGTCATGGACGCCCGTGTAGCCGGTCGGCCATCAATCTCCGCCACCACAAGCCACTAGAGGAGGCTAAGTTCCATCCATCAGGGCAAAGTCGCTTGGGTGCTGGAGATAGGGACAAGAAGAATTGAGGGGTGCAGCAGGACCAGGTGATTTTAGTTATCATTAGGCTAGGGTTCCTTGGGGGAGATGCATGAGATTTGAGTGCACTGCCATTCAAGACGGCGGCGCTCTAGAGAGATCCGATCCGACATGCAAAGCGATGTCTACCCTAGAGAATGAGTCTATGACTTCAAAGTGATCTTGTGCTTCTCGGTAGTCCCGCTGCTGATCCGGCGGCGCAGGAGGAGGCTACCGCTACTCGTTTCTCCTGCGGCGGCGTACCGGTATTACCTTGTCCTGAGTAACGTTAAGGCCATCTGGTTGGGCGACAACAGCCTGCTAGAGCGACCAGGATTCCATCGCTTGCCGAACTTCCTTCCATCTGCAGGTTTCCAATCCAACTCAACTCAATCGAATTCATCCATTCAAAGCCAAGTTACCTACTTACCTTGGATTCGATTCGCACTCCCCAAGCCAAGTTTAGTCGTCGGTCGAGACACGGCATTTGTCTGCATTACTAACTGGGTACTTGCTGCATAGTACAGTACGCTGAGACTGACTAAGGGGCATCCATCCTGCCCTGTTACGTACCTAGGTAGTTCTCTACCCTCTACCTGCTCGTACTCTTGAGTTTCGCTAATTCTCCGTTGCCGTACTGCAGACTCAGCGCCAGGCTTACCTTGCGGACCACATCATCCATCCGTCCATCTACGTCAAAATCCACGCTATCATACCGGTAATCCTCCATCTACCTCCAGGGGAGGTACCAAGCTGATTACCTTCGGGGCAATTGGGCCACCTTTTCCCTCTCCCCCACAGCAGGGCAGCCTTTAAACTACCTGACCTAGCGCTACTTGCTTGCTTGGCTTGGCCCCATAATCTATCCATCCATCCCATTTATCAATCCCTGCTACATCCGAGCCGCCGACTTCGTTCCTCTTTCTCTCCAACCTTCCTGTCGTCTACTTGTCTGGTTGTCTGTCTGTCCAACTGTCCAATCTTTTGGTGTAGATTCCGGCTTGGCGGTGCGCTGCGCGTGTATATCGATTCTAGGCGTCTGTGAGAAGGATTCTGCACCGAAAGGAAATTTTGCGACTCCGAACCGGCTCTCCAATTGTCGACGACGGATGAGGGACCTCACGACCACCGTCCCGACAGTCCCGTAGATCCCGCCTCCTCTCAATCTACCCCAACCTTGCATCTTCCACCTGCTCTCCCGGCGAACACGGCGCACATGGCGGATCAGGCCCGTACGTCAACCGATGGCCAGCAGGCGCCAATCGACCAGCCCCAAGACGCCGTACAGATGACGGCGATCGACAATGGCGCCGACAAGGCGGTGTCGTCAAACCCAGACAACGAGCAGAAGACGCCCTCGGTGCCCGCCAAGGACAACGTCCCAGCCGCAGCAGAGTCCTCCAGAGCCGCCGCGACGGCGACCGACGGCGACTCATCACGACAGCAAAGCAAGGAGAAGGACGAGGACTCTGCACCGCCACAGCCCGCACAGAAGGACAGGACAGACTCGCTCTCGATAGGGCCCTCGGACGCGCCGCCCGCCGCCTCGAACCCGGCCGACGGCCCCGTGTGCAACATCACCCTACTCCTGCCGACGGGGGCGCGGCACCCGTACAAGATCGACGAGAAGTACCTGACGAAGCGCAACGTCGAGGTGCCGGAGCTGACCGAGGAGGGCAAGAAGGACCCCTTCAGCATCAGCGTGTACAAGCTGAAAGAGCTGATCCTGCGGGAGTGGCGCGAGGAGTGGGACGGCAAGCCCGCCAGCCCGAGCAGCATACGGCTGATCCACTTTGGCAAGCTGCTCGAGGATAAGGAGTTGTTGAAGAGTGCGTATCCCTATCTCTCGTCACAGTCACGAGTCATTTCCTGGAAAATCTATCTGGAGCCTGTATGCTAACTCTTCTTCTCTTTTTCTAGAGTATCAATTCAGTGCGGAGGCGCCCAATGTTGTCCACATGTCCGTCAAGCCGGCCGAGATGCTGGAAGAGGACGAGGCTGCTAAGGGCAAGAGCAGCGGCAGGGAAGGCCGGAATCGGGATGGCGGATCGGGCTGCTGTGTGATCCTATAGGCGTGATATCACAAACAATTAGGAGGATGAGGCATTTGTGAGCATCAATGCGAGAACCTGGAATTTTTTTCCGGGTCCGACTTGTTCGATAGCAGCCTCGGAGAATGGGGCCTACCAAAAACCGGGCCAGCGTTGCAAGAGGCATTTACATCGGGAAGGGAGATGAAGACAGGAGAAGAGAAGGAGAGAGAAGTTAGTGGCAGGCAGGCAAGCCAGCGTCTTGTCTAGAGGCTGCCAGACCGCATCTGGTTCTGCATGTTTTCCTTGCTACGCTACCACCACCACCACCATCCACAACGTCATGAAGAAGGGGAAATAGGTGCTTCAAATGCGGGGGTTTTTCTTGTCCATGTTTTCTACCATCACTACAAAGAGGAAGGAAAGGGTCCGCTGGCGTACTTTTTACAATGTGTAATTCTGTCTCATCATTTTCGCAAAAACTAGCCATCCTGTCATAAACTCACCCTTTATACACGCAGAGACATCGGGAAGATTCGATGGACTTGGGGCATGGGAGAGATGGGAGCAGGCACTGTCTATAGCTGGATAGAAAGCATCATTTTCCTGCTGTGGGGGGTTCGATGTTACAAATCATGATGACAGTCGGAAGTGATAGAAGCCATAGAATGTCCATTGGTGACGCCTCTAGCTATACGGCCTGTCGGCCCATCTATGCCCTGATTGATCGTACATACAGAGTTCTTCATCCTCACACCACAGCATGCATCAAGAATGTGCTTCTATTGCCGTCTATCGAGGCAAGCTCATCGAGCCGAATGCCCCGACACTCAGAATCCAGTCTGCCACACCCAACCAGCACCTTAGATCTTCAGCTTCCGCTCCAGCTCGTCATGCACCGGCACAACCGCCCGCTGCTCCTCGCCCGAGTAGATGTCCTCCCAGGAGATGCTGTGCTCCTTGCCGCGGAGGATCTCCTCGTGGACGCTGGGGACGCCGCCGCCGAGCGCCAGCGGGCGCCACTCGCCGTCGCGCACAATCTTGAGCTCCATGCCGCGGCGCACCGGCTCGGCGATGCCAAACGTCCGGCGCAGCGACTCCATGCGCACGCCCTCCTGCGTCGCCTCCCAGGCCTTGAGGCGCGCCTCGAGCGGGTGCGCGGACCCGGCGGCGCTGGACGTCTCCGGGCTGTAGGTGTCGAGGGCGTTGGCGCCGACGCCGGCGCGCAGCGTGTCGTGCAGGCCCGGGGCGGAGGGGGCGCCCTTCTGCTTGGGGCGGATGTGTGAGAAGGAGGAGGCGTGGTCGTCGCCGGGGACGATGCGGAGAGACTGTTGTCAGGGTGTGGTTAGCAGTGGTCTGGGAGATTGGCTGATGGGAGAGGCTGATGGTTGAGCTTACCATTTTGATAGGGATTATCACCAGACTCACGTCCAGCAGAGGATTTGAGATTGGAAAGAGTATTACCAGAAGACTACTGATCGTTGACGCCTTCAAATTAATGGCCTTGAGGGTTCTTCGCAGGGATGTTGAGATGGGGTTGACGTTCGTTTGATGATGAAGCTTCCGGTCAGTCTACCTTAGTTCAGGCTGCTGGCAGCTTCGCGTACGTGCACAGAGCCTGCCTTGCCAACCGACCAACAGGCAGGTACGGAGGTACACCTCAGCAGTAGGATGAGCTTCTTACATAATTAGCGCGGAAGTGCCTGCATTCAATCCGGGGTTGTTATCCCCGATTACCACCCGAGCGCACTAACAGGAAGCTCTTACCTCACCGTCGATATCGGCTGTGGATTTTGTAACATTTGACTCACACAATATGGATCTTGAGGAGAGATTCATCATTGTGGTCAATTGAGAAGATGCGGCCCTTATCAAAGTCGCCGCCGATAATACGCATCGCCAATGGCACTTTTTATAGGCATCACCCGAGCGCGCAGCTCTCACACCCCAACCCGCCGCTCTTCTCAGATCTGAGCTTTGAGCTCCCGTCGGCGAGCAGCTCTCCTCACCACTGGTGCATTGTAGGCCCATCCCTCTCCGGAAAGACCTCCTTCTTGCAGGTGCTCCGTGGCCAGCATCTATGTCTGCCGCCCACGGCACGGTCGTTCCCGTACCTAGCCACAGATGCGGTTCCGCATCGGCTGAAGGCCGCAACCCGTGCGATCCAATACGTAGGCTTTGACGGCGAGCGCTTTGGGGGCGCTGGCCTCGGGCCGGCTACTTCGGCTTATCTGTCAGCTCGATATGAGTCTCGGCGTGAGAACACGGACTTCTCGCTTAGAGACTTCCTGCTGGGTAATACGCAACTGAACCCCTTCTCGCAGCCCGGTGTTGACGATGGTATCAATGCTGCCCTGCTCGAGCGTGTGGTGAAAGACCTGAGACTCCAAGAGTTGTTGGATCTCCCTGTGGCATTTTTATCCAATGGTCAGGGCAGGCGGGCACGCATTGCCAGAGCTCTGCTCACGTCGCCTGAGGTCTTACTGCTGGACGAACCTTTCATGGGCCTAGATCCACCTACTGTTGCGTCTCTCAGCCCTCTCTTGCAGTCTCTCTCCGACAAGTCGGAGCCAAGACTGGTACTGAGTGCACGGCCACAAGATCCTATGCCGGACTGGATTACACACCTGGTGTACCTTCGGACGGATTGCCAAGTTGGCGTCATTGGAGACAAAGAAACAGTATTAGAAGGTCTTAGAAAGTATGTCAAGGGCGTCTGGAAAGGCGGTCTCGCGGAAGACGAGAAGATGCCAATAGGACCCTTACGCGAAATGGGAAGGACATTAACTTCAAATGGCGTCGAGGGTCAAGGACTGGGAGAATATGAACAGGCAAGTCAAGCTGTTGTTCGCGACATCAGTAAAGGCCAGGCACCGCAGTCACTAGGAGAGCCAGTCGTCGAGATGGACGGCTGTAAGGTCAAATACGGCGACAAGGTAGTGCTTGGAAATTGGTCGGAGCAAAAGGATGGCAAGTCGAAAGACGGCTTGGTGTGGACGGTCCGCCGAGGTGAGCGCTGGGGCGTGTTCGGTCCCAACGGATCTGGGAAGACTACGATCGTGTCACTTCTATGCTCCGACCATCCCCAGACTTATTCATTACCTATTAGGCTCTTTGGTAGAAGCAGGCTACCTGAGCCTGGTTCTGGCGAGTTGCCTCTTACATATTGGGACATTCAGTCCCGCATCGGCCATTCCAGTCCTGAGATTCATCAGCATATTCCACGGAGCCTGAATATCAGGCAAGTGCTCGAGAGCGCTTGGGCAGATACCTTCCGTGCGAAGCCGAAGCTTGACCAGGAAGCACGGGACAAAGTTGACGCCTGTCTGCGGTGGTTTGAGCAAGAACTCAACCCAACGTACCACAAGACGAAGACTGAAGCAGGCTCGTCATCATCGGCTCCGACGTTGTTATGGGCGGGCGAGTACATGTTTGGAGAGCTTTCATTCAGTGCCCAGCGTATTCTGCTATTCATCCGCTCCATGATCAAGAGCCCGGACATTGTCGTGCTAGACGAGGCGTTCAGTGGGATGGATGAAGCCGTGAGGGACAAGTGCATGCTCTTCCTCTCATCTGGCGAGGAGAAGACCTACGCTACAAGCACGACAGAAGGATCTACAGGGTCAAGAGAGTCCGTGGTGGTAGACAGTGAGGTGGCCAAGGCTGGAAAGATCAAGGTTCGCGGCCTGTCTGACCAGCAGGCGCTGATCTGCATCAGCCATATCAAGGAAGAGGTTCCGGATGCAGTGCGGGAATGGGTGTGCCTACCCGAAGCCAATTCAGGACAGCCCGCACGCTTCGGCCGTCTAGATGGACCGCTGAGGACGGACTCTAGGAGGTGGGCGGAAATATGGGATGTTGGACGAGCATGATGCACCCCTGTATCAAATTCTATTTGGACACCAATATCTACAGGATCAGCTCTTCAAATGTAGAACTAGAGTCAACCAATTGTAATCGGCCAGAGAAACTGGGAGTACGATCGAGTGAATTCTAGGACCGAAATCTTAGACCAATTAAAGGCCACAACAAATATCTCTAACTAGGTAGTAGTAGCTTACCCTGAAAGAAGGCACAATAGCCGCAGCCCTACCAACCCCTATTCTGACAGATGCACCCGTGAGGTTTTGTAACCACAGTGACAGCATACGCACATTTGCGAGCATCGGTCCACAAATTTCCTGCCGGTGGATCTGGCCTAGTGATGCTCTACGCCGCAGCTGAATAAATTTCCACAGGGCGAGATAACGATAGCACTCTAGCGACTGCTGCTGTTGACCTGATTCGGTGCGGGCCGTGTTTTGAATCCATGCTGTGCCGTACACGTACAATCAAAAGGATGGACTAATGTGTAAGTAGCACAGTCTTCGCACAGGGGTCATCATCAAGGACCCATCGTGCCATCCCACCATCCCATATGATTTTGTTTTTGCCATTTTTCGCCTTGTGGTGATGAAGCTTTTCCTCAAGCAGCCTTGCAGTCTCGGTAGCGGACAGCCAAGCCAATGGATCAGGCACACCATCACGGTCATGGAATCGCATGGGAAACGGGACTGTGGAAGCGGGCGCCTCGTGAAGCATTGTTAGGCATCGCAGGGTTTGCTGTTTGCTGTGCTGGTGTCGGGGCAATTCTTGCGGATTCAGATGGCAAAGAGGTCGACAAATGGCCTAGTTCGTCCGCGAAGGCTTCAGTCTCTGTGTTGATATCTCTTCTCATCAGTGTTGCGAATGTTTTCCTCCTTATTGCTCTCAATCAAGGCTACGAAGTCGCGTGGTGGGTGTCAGCGATGAAAGGAAGGACTTTGCGACAGCTTCATTTCGACCTGGAGATCCAAAACAACTACTTCGCATTCCTTTCAAGGGAGTTCCGTTTCATAGACAAGTTTGTGATTGCTGCTATCATCTCGCTGATAGTCAGTATTGCCGATGGACCTCTCATCCAGAAAGCGACGGACACGAGAATAGCGACCTTCTCATATGACGGACCTCTCGTCAATGTATCAGTGTCTAATGCGACGTTCCCCGACGACTTCAGTGGCTTTGCTGGCATTGACATCGGGCCAGACCTCATGACACCTCTGTTCAGCAATGTTAGTCGGGCTTTCAGCAACCGCGATAATATAAGCTTGCCACTGGAGGGTTGCGCTCCGGGCACGACATGCGACTTTAGTTTGCCAGCGCCGGGTTTCGACGTGAGCTGCTCGGAGACTCCTGTCGCTTTTAACTTCTCTAAGCTTGCCGCGGGCACAGATAATAACAACCTCACAATATTCGACGTAACGCTGGACTTCGGTGGTCAGGAGGGCGCGGATAGCCTCAGCAAGTTCAGCACAATCAATATTACCGCCTTGTACAAGCGGGAAGCTGCATGCATTGGAAATATGATCCAGAGGAAGTGCGTGCTTCGGCTAGCGACAGTGCGATATAACACAACGGTGCTGAATGGTACGGCAACGATTGACACTTGGAAGGAAGGACAGAACGACACGATCGAGTTCCCAGTATTGCCTCAACCATACGCCTTACCGGGCTATGGGAGCTTATTCACCGGGAGTGTGGCGGCCGGGGGATTCCAAACGATGCTGGGTGGCTTCTATCTCATTGGCAAGTCGCTTTACGCAGGCAGCGTCAACTTGGGCATTGCCACCATGACAACGGTCCCGTATATCCTGACGGCATCTGGCACCGCCAGTAGCAGCTATTTGACGTCTAACATATCGACGTACGGCAACTGTCTCATGACGTGGGACGATCCGACCGGCGACTTCGTCAACACCATGCGAGAGCTCATGTTCCGAAGTGCCATTGCACAGTCTGTTGCAAACGAGTCGGCCGTGGTGCCGCAGCAGCTGCTTTCTCACCAGACAAGACAGGCCAATACTTACCAGAGCCACTATGACTATCTCGGTATCACAATCGCGGTCATGGTCGTGCAGACTCTTGCGATCTTCTTGTTGCTGTTCGGCTGGCATAAGCTTGGCCGAGAAGTGTCGCTCGACCACTTCGAGGTCGCGCGGACTCTTGGTGCGCCACTGCTGCAGCAAGGCAGCTCGAACAACACCATCGGCGACTGCCTAAATGACCTCAAAGACGTGCGGTTGAGGTATGGCGAGATAGCAGTGGAAGGGACTGGTCCTGATGTCGCACATCAAGCACCTGAACAGATGGGACATGGCTACGAAGAGAAGACGACAAGATCGACTACGTACCCGACAGCTCAGGCGGATGTTGAGATGGCGGATCCTCTTCAGCCTAATAGTTCTAGGCGATTCGCTCATAAGAGACTGGGGTTGCGTGAAGAAGGCCAGGTCGGCAGCATTAGAGCAGGCACGTTCTATTTATAAAGCGCCAGCGGTTCGGCTGACCCTGGCTATGATGCCCTGCCGCTGATGTCTTCCATCCCATCTAATCAGCAATTCAAAAAAGATATCTATTGAAACCATAGTAATCATCCTTGGATGCAAAGTGAACTATTTCGTGAATTCCCTGAGGCAGCGAGCATCATTGCTATGGCATCGCAATCCGCTTAAATGCAACAACATTGTAATCATGCCGAAACTTTATAGCGCTATTGTCATCAGGATATTGAGGCTCCTCATGAGAGCCTTATCACAGCGATGTCTAGGGAGAATAAACCTTGACTGAGATACTACGCCTTGAGTCGTGTAAAATAAAGGGTCTGCTAATTCAAGCTGCTCGCTGCATTGCATGTCAAATCGTCACGGATATAAAAGGGCTCTTGACGAAGACCGGCATCGAAGTTCAACCCGAAGACATCCTTCGGCTAGTAATCCAGCAAGGATAAGTGCTACAAGATTTAATTTACACGTCACTGGCAAAGTGTCTATAACTGACCAACAGGGTCTCCATGCCCCATCATTATGTAAAGGGTATATCTGCATTATCTTATTGTAAATTACGCCTTCTAAGCGGTAAATATATGTATTCGTTTGTCTTCGCCATTAATATAGCGCTGGGAATTGTTTTATTTATGGCTGCTTCTAATAATGGCTCGTGGGATTTCTTGTGGATGATGTTCTTAAAAGAGAATTTGATAACAGCCGCCTAGCAGAGGCCAATTGAATTGCAAGACTCCACGAGACGATATTTGGAGAATTTCCGAGTGAACCATCTCGTCAGGACTAGTGACAGAGAGAATACATTAAATCAAGTCGGAAATGGCACGCACAAATATTCAGGGTTGGCAATGTGCAGCCTTTCACCAATAGGAACGCGTCAATTAACTACCAGTATTTCGCCTCCATGAGGGCTCGGGAGGTAAGCATAATGTTGTATCAGTCGACGCGTAATGACAGTCACCGAACGTAGATAAAATACAGCTTACGCTTAGCTTTGTCCAACCTCCAAAGCTTCTACAGAATTCATTTATGGAGTACCAGCACCTGGACGGCCCCAGAAATTCACTCCCCACATCCGAGATCGGCCGGGATGCCAAGGCATTGACTTGACAGCCAATCAGAGGCTCCCTATTTAGATCTCCCGAGGTCCCTACAAAAATTTCTTGACTCAGATGCAGATGCTCGTGCTACCCAGTTCTGGATAATGGACCACACCGAATTCTACGCGCGCCGTACACCATCCACCAGACAAGAGATATTCTCCAACATGATCCACCCCAATCTGACTCTAAGGCCATAGCTCTATCATGGCTGTATTTGTGAGTTCTCCCGCCGTGAAGCTACTCTCTCCTGCCTTTCCTCCTCCGAAACCCGACCCTTATTTCTCCCCGCCTTTCCTGGACGATTCGTATAGAATCCTGACTTACATGGGTTGATCTTAAGCAGAGAGCCATTGCGCTCACGGCCGGCACACGATTACGGCCTCAGATATTCATTGCCCAGCCTCGACATCTCTCCGCCGCCGTATCCCATTGCCGTGGCTACAGGTCTACCGGGCCGAGACGGGCATCTACCTCCCACTTCAAGCTTGAAAGTAACGACAATGTCGCAACCCACCGCTCCTCTCAGCCGCTGCCCACCCCGTCCATACCACAGACTCTCACCGAAAAGATTGTACAACGATACGCCACGGACCTTCCTCCCGGCAAGAAGGTAAAGGCCGGCGACTATGTCACGCTAAAACCGGAGAGAATCATGACACACGATAACAGCTGGCCAGTGGCAATGAAGTTCATGCAGATAGGGGCCTCCAAGATCTATGACAACCGTCAAGTCATTATGGTAAGTTAGGGTCAACTAGTTGCGACATGCCTGGTGGTCCAAAGTGATGGCCTGGGCGGAAATCGCCTCAGGGAGCAGGAAGCGCCTGCTAACATTTGAAGACTCTTGATCACGATGTACAGAACGAAACACCTGGGGTCTTGAAAAAGTTCAAACAGAGTTAGTCTCCCTTCGCGGCTGGTTTTCGCCCTTCGAATATGTCTCATGATCACTGCTCCCGAGACGCTCTCAAACACATTCGTATATGGCAGTGGTTGACTGAAGAATCTATAGTTGAGGAGTTTGCTGCCCAGCATGGTGTTCAATTGTAAGTGTTCTCTCGCTAATGAGGCCTTTGCTTTCCCTTTGGACATATCTCATAAGTCTTCACTCCCGAAACATGCTCCCAGGCAGGACAACATCAAGCATTCGCTGACTAGAGTACCTTTAGTTACCCAGCCAAAAGAGGAATAGGTATATAAAAGCCACCAGTAGATCAGGCACCGGAACGTGAAAAGCCTGCTAACTATAGGATAGGCCATCAGATTATGGTAGAAGAAGGTAGAATATCGCCAGCGCTCACGATTGACGGGCGGTATATTAACAGATGAACAGGGCACGCCTGGCCAGGAACTCTGACCGTAGCCAGTGACAGCCATTCCAATCATTATGGTGGCGTAGGAGCGCTCGGCACACCTGTCGTAAGAACCGACGCCGCTAGCATATGGAGTACATCTAAGACTTGGTGGCAGTAAGTACTTTCCTGGCCCTCTTGCCTCTGCCCTGCACAATTCAGGTGCAGACTATGGTCTAGAACATTTTACGCCAGATATTTGCCCCCGGACACACCTCACAGATCTGTGAAGCGCTCTCGCTCTCGAAGACGCCGTAGCTAACGGAGGCGTGCTAGAATACCTCCAATTGCCAAGATTACATTCACTGGCATCCTCCCTCGCGGCGTTACTGGCAAAGACGTGATTGTTTCTTTGTGTGGCTTGTTTAATCACGACGAAGTCTTGAACCATGCCCTCGAGTTTACGGGGTCTGAAGAGACTTTGGCAAGCATCCCTATCGATGACCGTCTGAGCATTGCCAACATGAGTACTGAGTGGGGTGCTTTGAGTGGTAGGGCTCAAAGGTAATGGATATCAGACAAGCGAGTGTTAACACATAAAGTAGGAATATTCCCCGTTGATGAGAAACTCGTGTCCTGGTATCGCGCCAAGGCTACCACCGCTGCCATGTTCAACAGTCCACTCAAGGAGCGCATCAACCACGAGCGCATCGATGAGCTTGTCAAAGACAAACTAGTCGCCGATCCTGGCGCTTCTTATGCCAAGGAGCTCTATTTGTAAGTCTATATTTCGCACACGATATCTCTCCCTCAGGATATGTCACATGAGCACAGCTACAGAGACAAACCCCGGAGTAAAACTACCTGATCAGGCAATTATTGACTGTATTCCCGTAGGAACTTATCCACGCTTTCTCCATTTGTTGCTGGACCTAACTCGGTGAAAATTATTACTCCTGTCGAGAAACTTGAATCCCAGGATATTCCCGTCAATAAGGCTTATCTCGTTTCCTGCACTAACGCTCGGAGCTCGGATTTCGCTGCCGCCGCTCGTGTTTTCCGCGAAGCGGCCAAGGATGGCCAGACCCCCAAAATTGCTCCTGGTGTCAAGCTTTATATTGCTGCGGCCTCTATTCCTGAGCAGGAGCTATCCGAGGAGGCAGGCGATTGGCAGGTCCTGATTGACGCTGGTGCCCTAGTCCTACCCCCTGGGTGTGGCCCTTGTATTGGTCTTGTTGGTTCTAACACCCCGAGATTTTGAAGAAGGTCCATAACTAATCGAGACCATCTAGGGCACTGGTCTTCTTGAAGATGGCGAGGTCGGTATAAGTGCATCCAACCGCAACTTCAAAGGTCGTATGGGATCTACCGCAGCAAAGGCCTACTTAGCCAGTCCGGAAACTGTCGCAGCCAGCGCTCTCCGGGGTAAGATCGCTGGTCCTGGTTGGTACCAAAAACCCGAAGGTGTGGAGAAGGTTATCATTGGTGAGGGCAGCGGTGATCATGTTGCCGACAAAGCTCGGTCTGTGGAGGATGCTCTCAACAAGCTTCTTGGTCAAGTCGATAGCATGATCACCACCTACCAGGACGACGGCGAAGGTGCTGTAGAGCAGTCATCTGGCCCTGCTGCACCTGAAGATGAAGCTTTGGTTGAGATTCTCCCTGGCTTTCCCGAGAGGATTGAAGGCGAGATCGTCTTCTGTGACGGGGATAACATTAACACTGATGGAATCTATCCGTAAGTTTCACTCATGGGACATCGCACATCAAACATCGAGAAACAAGCACACAACTAACCCAGTATGTCGCAGAGGCAAATACACCTACCAGGATAACATCTCTCGGGAGAAGATGGCCGAGGTGTGCATGGAGAACTATGACGAGAAGTTCCGCACGGCCGCCAAGGCTGGTGATATCCTGGTAACAGGCTTCAATTTTGGTTGTGTAAGATTACCGCTCCTGATCCTGCTGTGGGGAGCAATTTCTGACCTGACCCAGGGATCCTCACGAGAACAAGCTGCAACTGCCATCTTAGCAAAACAAATTCCCCTTGTCGTTGCCGGTAGTTTCGGCAACATCTTCAGCCGTAACAGCATCAACAATGCTCTCCTCGGCGTGGAACTGCCTGCACTTGTGCACCGTCTGCGCGAAGCATACAAGGACGAACCCGAGAAAGCCCTAACCCGCCGCACCGGCTGGAGATTGCTCTGGGACGTTCGCCGCTCCAAAGTCATCATTACCGAGAAGGATGGCTCCTCGTGGGAGCAGAAAGTCGGCGAGATGCCGCCCAATGTGCAGGAAATAATCGCTTGCGGTGGCCTTGAGGGCTGGGTCAAGACTAAGATCGCGGCCGAAAAGTGACGTCAAGTCTCCTAATAATTAGATCCCCTTTTAAGGTGTTTCTGGAACTTGTCATCTCGTTTACTACGACTGGCCATTGTTTTACTCCAGGGCGAAAAGTACGATCGTTTTACTATCTTAAAAGCTGGTGTGTAGAATACAAAGGTGAATTGATCAGCCTAGATAGATGGCGATGTACTCTAGACATTTGTCTCGAATATATAAAAAGAGAAATACGCATCTTTGCAAAGGCAGGAGTTTGCATGTCAATTGAATTGATCGCTACAGTGGGTCTAGCTGGTTGTTTGGGGTTGCGTCACGCAGGGGCGCTGCGCCTTAAGGCGGTGGTTGCTGGGTCAACGATACTGATGCGCCGCCAAACAAATCAGTCCACACAAACGACCCTCCCCAAGTGCCCCTCCACCTCTGTCCTTGATATCGGCTTCCCTAGCTCCCTTTGGCTGCTATTCAATTAATTGAAATGCAAAGTGCTTCTTCCCGGTGAATTTGCACCTTGAAGGACTGATTGATTTATCTGCTACTCTACTCTACTCTGCCTGGTCAAGGATCCCAGGCCATCATCATTAGAAGGCTGCTTGATGCGCCTAGCTGCTGCAACTGCATTCCTGAGCACCTTCATATCCACAATACCTCAATATCTCGCCCTCACCACACCAAGAAGGGACCAAAGCCATCCCGTCGTGTCTCACTGACACCGCATTCCTCGGCAACATTGCCCTAACCTTAACTCAAGGCAGTCAACATGGACCGGCCTCACACTCCGTCTCTGCCGCCAGACTATGCTCTGCCATCCTACGACGACGAACATGACGATACTCCGACAGGTCAAGGCGGTAATGCCGCTGCTGTTCGTCTGTTGACTTCAATGGAAGAACCCATATCAGAGGGAAGACCGTATGTACAGCAGCTTTCTCAGCCCCCTCCTGCTCTCACTCGACAGATCTCGGAATCGCTAGATGTTGCGACTCCAGAGTATCTAGCTTCTCTCAAACAACAGGAAGAGGCTACATCTCCAGTAAAGCCGTCTCCCACGAAGGTCAAGTTTGCCGCTGCCTCGCCAATTGTAACAGGCTCTCCACGACGGAAGCCAGTTGCGAACGGCGAGAAGGACAAGCAGAAGCCAGCTCGATCTTCAACAGTCAAGCTCCAAAGGAAGAACAAGCCGGCATATGTCCTGCAGGCCGAGATTGCAGCGACATTGCCGGTCATTCCTGAGGGCTCCTCCCCTCGGAGGGAATCGCTCAAGAAGTCTTCGAGCGAGCCACCTACCCCAACTTCAGTCCCTACTGGTTTGTTAACAAGCCCAAGCTCACCATCTTATGCATATAGTAGTCGACCCACGAGACGATCATATCAGCCGTCTGTTATCTCTTCTCACTCCCGCCAATCCTCCTCAATCCTCGACCCTCCAAGTATGCCTCCTCCAGATTCTACCTACGTTCCTTTCGCAGGAAGGGACGCCGGGTCTCCAACACGCCCCTGGAGCCCGTCTCGCATGTCGGATGACTTTGCATCAGAGTATCCGCGGCCACCGCCGTCTGTTTCAGCATATGAGCGAGCCGACCTGAACGGTAGCCCAAGACCTGGAACACCCTCCTCTAGATACGGCGGTAGCCCGAGGCGGCCGCTCCCACCTGCCCCGTTGTTCTCTAACTCTGCTCGAAATTCAACATTCGCAGATGATGCGACTGTCTCTATTCCACTTGGACCTGATGGCGATGATGTGTTCGGGCCAGAGTCTTCAGACCTTGGCGATAAGCGAGGGTCATATGGGGGCTCCCAAGTAACCTTGAACGAGGAGATAGACCCAATGGACGAAAAGTACGAGCATTATGGCCCAGCGCCCGACGGTCAACAAGAGAGACGCGGTGTCCGCCCTCCCCAGATGAGCAGGAAAGAGGTTCAGCTTATCAACGGCGAGCTTGTGCTTGAGTGTAAAATCCCCACAATCCTCTACAGCTTTTTGCCTCGACGAGACGAGATCGAGTTCACGCATATGCGATACACCGCTGTTACATGCGACCCAGACGACTTTGTGGACAAGGGTTACAAACTTCGCCAGAACATAGGACGGACTGCGCGAGAGACCGAGTTGTTCATTTGCGTCACCATGTACAACGAAAATGAGATCGACTTCACTCGAACGATGCACGCCGTCATGAAGAACATCAGCCACTTTTGCAGCCGCAACAAGTCAAGAACCTGGGGCGAGCTTGGATGGCAGAAGATTGTTGTGTGCATCGTTTCGGACGGACGAGAGAAGATCCACCCTCGGACTTTGGATGCCCTGGCTGCAATGGGTGTTTACCAGCATGGTATCGCCAAGAACTACGTCAACCAGAAGGCAGTGCAAGCTCACGTTTACGAGTATACCACCCAAGTCTCGCTAGACGCGGACCTGAAGTTCAAGGGCGCAGAGAAGGGTATTGTTCCCTGCCAAATGATCTTCTGCCTGAAGGAGAAGAATGCGAAGAAACTCAACTCTCATCGATGGTTCTTCAATGCCTTTGGAAAGGCCCTGAACCCGAACGTCTGCATTCTCCTCGATGTTGGAACTAAGCCTGGAGGCAACTCTCTCTACCATCTATGGAAGGCATTCGACACCGATTCTAACGTTGCTGGTGCTTGTGGTGAAATCAAAGCAATGAAGGGCAAATGGGGTGTCAATCTTCTAAACCCTCTTGTCGCCTCTCAAAACTTCGAGTACAAGATGTCAAATATTCTTGACAAGCCACTTGAGTCTGTCTTTGGCTACATCACCGTGTTGCCTGGAGCTCTCAGTGCCTACCGATACCACGCGCTGCAGAACGACGAAACGGGTCACGGCCCACTCAGCCAATACTTCAAGGGTGAGACGCTGCATGGTCAACATGCGGATGTCTTTACAGCCAATATGTATCTGGCAGAAGATCGTATTCTCTGCTGGGAGCTGGTGGCGAAGCGTAATGAGAGATGGGTCCTGAAATACGTCAAGGGATGCCATGGTGAAACTGATGTGCCTGGTAAGCTGAATGGAACCTCCCTGAATGAGCACCGACTAACATGACTAGATTCTGTTCCCGAATTCATCTCGCAACGTCGACGATGGTTGAATGGCGCTTTCTTCGCTGCGGTGTACTCTCTTGTGCACTACAAACAGATTTGGCAGACTGATCACACCATCACCCGCAAGGTCCTGCTCCACATTGAGTTCTTCTACCAGTTCATCCAGCTCCTGTTCACCTACTTCTCCCTGGCAAACTTCTACCTGGCTTTCTACTTCATCGCTGGTGGTCTAGCTGACCCTCTTATCGACCCCTTTGGCCACAATATCGGCAAGTACATCTTCATTGTCCTGCGATACACATGTGTCCTCCTCATCTGTACGCAATTTATCTTGTCCCTCGGCAATCGACCTCAAGGCGCGAAGAAGCTCTACATGGGTTCGATGATCATCTACTCCATCATTATGGTCTACAATACTTTCGCCACGATCTATATCGTAATACGACAGTTGAAGCCCAAAGATGGTGACGATTCAGATCTCAAGCTCGGAAGCAACGTGTTCACGAATTTGATTGTGTCAATCCTGTCAACTGTCGGTCTGTACTTTATCATGTCAATCATGTATCTCGATCCTTGGCACATGATCACTTCAGTGGCGCAGTATTTTGTCTTGCTACCATCATACATCTGCACGCTGCAGGTGTACGCCTTTTGCAACACGCACGACGTGACCTGGGGCACCAAGGGCGACAACGTGATGAAGACGGACCTGGGCGGGGCCATCGGCAAGGGCTCGACGGTGGAGCTGGAGATGCCGTCGGAACAGCTCGACATCGACTCGGGCTACGACGAGGCGCTGCGCAACCTGCGTGACCGTGTCGAGGTGGCCGCGCCTGCCGTCAGTGAGAGCCAGCTGCAGGAGGACTACTACAAGAGCGTGCGCACGTACATGGTCATGTCGTGGATGATCGCCAACGCGGTTCTCGCCATGGCCGTCAGCGAGGCGTATGGCGGCAAGTCCATCGGCGACAACTTCTACCTCAGCTTCATCCTGTGGAGCGTGGCGTCCCTGGCGGCGTTCCGCGCCATCGGGTCGACGACGTTTGTGGTGATCCACTTCATCAACATGATTGTGGAGGGTCGCGTGCGGATGAGTTTGAAGATGCCGAAGTGGGCAGGTGGTATGGGCAGTCGCATGAGTGAGACGTTGAGTAGCATTGGAAGCAGTGTGAGGAGCTAAATTAGCTTTCTGTTCTTCAGAAGAAGAATGTGAGCCTAGGGGTGATGACAAGATCGGCGTTTGGCAAATTTCACATATCAAGAATAAGATCATGAGCCACGGATGACAGGCGATGACGGGCGTGGTATATGCTCGGGATGGAACTGTAATGCGAACGACCTCGTAGGTCGGGGTACGTTGGGGACTGAGGCAAGGGGATCAGGAAGGGTTTTCCCTGTGTATGTGTAGTGATGTATATGTGTCTTGCTGTGGCGTGTGCTTGACAAGTGGAAGGCACGCCTGTTGTCATCTGGATCAATGGATTGCTGGGTCTATGTTATGGGGAAGGGATTGATTTCAGAGTTTCATAGAAAAGCAATGGAAGAATTGTTATACCCCTAAATTGAGGATATTGTCTCAATATGGATTTATCGACTCTTGAGACACTTGAAAATCGACTCCAAGCCTACATCATAATTCATTGTAAATCAATAGTTCCATTAGATTGGAAAACGCCTTAAAAAGGCAAAATTCAAATACTCAGCGCCCATTCAAATACTTCTCAGCCTTCAGGGGGGACGAGTGAAATGAGGATATTAATCCAATACCTACTTTAATCACCTGTACTTTTTGGCCCCCTTAGCGTATTCAGCATCACTTTCGAGACCAGACGGACAAGATTTAAATAGATCTTGTTTCTTGAGACTGAGGTTCTGCTACAAGCTTAATTATCTGAGTAACCAGTGCCTTTGCATTAAAATTCGCTCTTCGCTTCTGCTTTCCTCCGTGCAGCTTCCACGATGGCTTTAATGCTATCGTTGAACAGATAGGTGGCCCTTGCCATCTTTTTAACATGGTCTAGTTTCAAGACCTTGCCGTCTTTCATCGCCAGCGACGCCGCAGAGAATAGAATATTTCTGACTTGGCGGCCGTTGAGAGCCCGCGACTTGATCAAACGATCACCGTCCTCATCTTCCTTGAACCACTGAATAATTCTCTCGCGGCCTTCGACGTTTTCATCTCTTAGTTGCTCAAGGAAGTTCTCGATGATCTTCAGTTTCTGTGGTGTTTCCACATCGTCGTACATAACGCCAAGATTGACTCGCGACTGGACTGCAACATCGAACTCGCGGATTCGGTTTGTGGTCAGGATGAGGATACCTGCGCAATACTCCAATACCCGTAACAGAACTGCGAGATAATGTAGCCAACGCCATTAGATGTGATGCGAAAGCCATTACCAGAGACGAGAGCATTCCGATTCAAATCTGATGTGTGCGAGCTGCGTGATTCTGAGAAGACATCGGCCAGGCTCCCAGGCTGCCAAGAGCGCGAAGCAGGCTCAGCGACGCTGGGGAGTACGAGAAACTCAGGTGCAGTGTCAGCAAAGCCAGCGCATTAGCCTCGGGGGAGGACCAGTGCAGCCACTTACGGCAGTTGTATTGGTTTCTTGGTGACTTGCTGAGAGATCTGGCGTATACAAGGCTATATTTGATTCTCGACAGACCTGACTGCATGAGTCACTAGGAAATGTCGTTGCGACTGTGTTTGGGACTCTTAAAGAGGTGCCCAAACGGCCTCAAGGTCTTTGTTGTTGGTCAAGATATTAGCCCCGATTTCCTCTCCAATGCTGAAGAGAAACCTGGCTTCCGTAAACTCATATTTGACCAAGATAATTAGATATAAGCATTGCAATCAACCCCACGAGAGAAAAATCCTACTGAAAAGCGAGTCGTGCTCTACATCCTCATTTGATCTCGTAGGTCGTGCTGCCCTGGAGACTGCGCCCCATGTCTCGATCCTCCGACTTGCCCCGCATCTGCTTGGCGGCGCGACATGTTTTAATCTCAATCCTCCCAGAACAACGGGACACTGGATTTTCGCACACTTCAATCATCTACCGGTACTACTAACAGGTGACACCGTGGAAGCCAAAGAATAAGAGAAGAGAGGAATTTACACCGAATCCAATACAATGGCACAGCCAAAGATCAGCAGCTTTTATCGCACCTGGTTCACAATAGTGGACCCCCTCTCATTGATCCCAACTGTCTACGGCATTCTCTTTGCTCCCGAGTTCATGATGGATGCCATCATCCCGGCCACAATGTCAAAACCGGATCCAGATCAGGCGTTCCTTTTCCATCAGCTCGCCGCCTTGTACGCGTTCATGGTTGTTATCCTGGCTGCTGTGTTGCGCGCCACTTCCGATGTCAGAGTGTGGAAACGAGTCATTGCTGGGGTGTTGCTCGTCGATGTCGCGATACTCATCAGCATGTATATCAGTCTTGAGCACCAGGGCCGGCTCGGTTTGGAGAATTGGAGATGGCAGGAATGGGGCAATCTTCTGTATACAGGCGGGGTTGCTATCATTAGGGCTTTCTTCCTGGCTGGAGTTGGGGTACAAGCTGTAGGGAATAAGGAGAGGACGAGATGAGCATGTAATTGACCCTACTATGTTCTAGATAGCAACCCAATCCTTCTTCTCTGTCTCTAGGAATAAGCAAATCATTGGGGAAGATCTAGGATATAACTTGCAAGGTATATCAGTGTTCTATCATTCCGATGTCAAAACTCGATGCCCAAGAAAACGGCGCGTCAATTGAGGAGCATGGATCGGCCCTGGCTCGCGTGGGAAAGCTCTATGCTACCTAATCAAACGCCATTGCTGACACCGCAATCGCTTCCAGAGTCGCTTTAGCGAAGTACTGATCGTAGGACATTTAGCCACAGTAGGCATCTGCCTAAGCCGGTAAATAGATTGTATCTGGAGTTCTGGCCCGGGATGGAAGCTCCATATAGAAATATCAGCGCACAACTTTCCGCCTATGCCAAGAGCTACACCTCAACCGGAAGGTGCAGCGAATCTCATAATATTGCGCGTAGGTAAGGGAACATGACGTTATGCTCATCTCTTTGAATGAGGTCTATAGCTAATAGCATTGTTCGACATATAAGATCTCCTAGCCAAAAATCCGGTGCTTCGACGCCAAGTCCCTAATGTTCGCTAATCGCCCCGAAACTCAGCCAAGATGTTGCCCCACAGTCGCCTATTGGCAATTGCTGGCATTCTAGACGTCGTCCTGGGAGGCGTGCATGAGAAGCTAATCATGGTGCCCCAGGGATGGTTCCTGAGCAGCTCAGTATTGACTAGCAATCATGTTGCAACATTCAGCGTAGTGCTCAATCGGGATTTCACGAACCTCCAGAGCCAGTTACTCGAGGTGTCTACGCCAGGCCATCCCAACTACGGCAAATACTTGGACCACGATGCGGTCAACAGTGCTTTCGCTCCTTCTGCTGACGCTGTATCGTCGGTGGTTGGTTGGCTAAAAAGCAAAGGCATATCCGACTACAAAGTTGACAATGGCTTTGTCGATTTCGTGGCAGATATTGTGACTGCAAACTCCATCTTCAATGCTTCGTATCAGTATTATAGCAACAATGGAGCAACAAAGCTCCGGACCCTACAATACTCTATCCCTGATAATCTACAAGATCATATCGCTTTCGTGGAGCCCGGGACTTTCTTTGGCCAAGCTAACAAAAAATCACCTGTTGTGCCTACCAAGACGAAACGCGGTAACTCTGACTTCGCATCTACCGCGGCTGTTGATGCGGCGTGCGCAACCTCCATCACACCACCGTGCTTGAAGCAGTTGTATTATGTTGGGGACTATAAGGCAGATCGGTCTTCTGGTAGCAGAATTGGCTTTGGTAGCTTCCTGAATGAGTCGGCGCTCTATTCCGACCTAGAGCAATTCGAAGAGCTATTCAACATCCCGAGTCAGAACATCAGTAAAGTACTTATTGCAGGTGGCGTTGACGATCAAGATCCTTCTCATGGCAACTATGGTGAAGCCAATCTCGATGCCCAGACTATCATCGGCGTGGCACATCCCCTTCCGGTGACTGAGTTCATCACTGGAGGTTCCCCGTAAGTATAGCTCATGCTCTTTAGTATGTCAAGGCATTGAATTGAATGCTAAGACTACGGGCTGCAGACCATTTATACCGACAATTGGGCAGCCAACGCCGGCCGACAATTATAATGAGCCCTATGTGCCTTTCCTACGATACCTGCTTTCTAAGAAGAATTCGGAGATACCTCAAGTTATTTCGATTTCCTATGGTGACCAAGAAGATGTAAGTCTTTACTGCCATTCGATAGGCTCTGTCAATCTCGGCTGATACTGACACACCCCGTTAGGGAGTTCCTCTCGATTATGCACGGACGACGTGTAATCTGATTGCGCTGCTTGGTCTTCGGGGCATCTCCGTCCTGTCATCTTCTGGCGATGGCGGTGTTGGAGGGGCTTGCCTGGCTCCGGACTTCAAGACCGCGGAATTCGGAAAGCTCTTCCCAGCATCTTGCCCCTACATAACAGCCGTAGGCGGCACCTCTGCAGCGACAATTCCTGAAGTTGCTTGGAATCAGAGTGGCGGCGGGTTCAGCGGGTACTTCCAGCGACCATGGTATCAGGACTTGACGATACCCCATTATCTTGCGACCCAGGTCAGCCCGGCCACATACAAGTACTACAAGCCGTACGTCAACTTCAGTGGCCGTGCCTGGCCAGACGTCGCTGCTCACAGCTTGTACCCGTATTTTGAGGTCATCTATGGAGGCGAGCAGGCAGGTAGCGGTGGCACAAGCGCCTCCTCTCCGACATTCGCCGCTATCGTGGGTCTGTTAAACGATGCCCGGCTTCGGGCAGGGAAGCCAACTCTGGGGTTCCTCAATCCATTCATATACTCGATTGGTCAGAGTGGCTTTGTTGATATCACCGAAGGCTATACGTACGGTTGTCTTGGGAGTAAGCCTGAATACGGCTCCGTACCTGGCGCAAGATGGAATGCCACAACGGGTTGGGATCCTACAACAGGTTTCGGCACGCCGAACTTCCAAAGATTGAAGAAAATTGTTCTTAAGTTGTAGTGTTTGGGCGAGGCCTCTTTTTATTGGAAGGCTTTTTGAACGAGGGTTTGAACAGGCGCAATCAGATAGCTACCGATGAAACTACGATTTTACCACCTATCCGCTACTGTAACGTTTATCTATATCCTGGAGCTCGTATTTCATCTGTTGTGTGTCCCGAAAGTTGCCCTCACTCACCCTAGTCTTTTACCCTACCCATCGCCGCTTTACTCAGTCGCTACTCAGGCACTACTCAGGCGTTGTTCGGGACAGCTCAGGAGAGCTTAGAGGAGCGATCAAACCTGGTTTAGATATATAAGCAGTACAATTGAAAATGTTAAGTCCTCGCGAGTATTATGATTAGGAATGATGTTAGGCCCCTTAGGTGAGAAAAAACAGGTGTCTTAGGTTAGGTCTACCCTAAATCCGTCCGCTGTTTCTTAAAGTTTATAAAACTATTTTCTACTCTTAATCGTTCTGTATCTTTTATTGTATTTAATTCTTTGGCTTATCTATCTTTATATTAAAGTATTAAATAGCTTTTTTATAACTATCTTCCTCTCTAAGATAATGGTTTTCTATTATATTGTTAGATAATCGTTAAGATAATAACATTAGGAATATATAGTATTATTAGCTATTAAGTTAAGCTTACAATCTGAAATGACTTACAGACTCGGAGGGAAGGTGCCTTTAAGGGCTGCCGTCCTCAAGTAGTGGAGCTAAGCTGTCGACGTTTCTGGCTAGCAACCTTCCTAAGCCTTAGGGAAAATAGAAGCATTCTAACCACAATCGTTCAGAGGAAGTCCACCTAGAATGCTCCAGAAGGCATCATCAGACCACAGACCCGCCCACTGCTGGGATCTGTTTGTGGCTACTTCTAGGGGCCCGTGTCCATCACTGGGGCCTTGGAGAATGACTCGGACACCTGAGGCTATGTGTACGTGTTGAATGTCAAGCGAGACTAGAGGCTGGGTAAAGGGCTATCGGTACAGCCGGAGGCAGTAAGGATAGAGACAATTATATATATCATGTTAGCTCGGCCTCCTCTCTCTCTATCATAATGAAGATATTAGAATCTACTACTCTACTTTGTTTGATGATATCTTAATATTTTCGATTTAATACGTTTAAGATCATCAGCGTCTAGAGATAATCGTTTCGATCGGATTGAGCGTACTATATACCTGATCCCATTCAGACAACTACCTAATACTATGGTAGTATTACTTTCACTTTCCTTTATCCTACCACTTGCGTCGGTTGGTAACTGATCTATTCGCTACAATATACCAAGCGCTAGAGGCCTCAAGTACTAATAGAGATCTATCAGTACTAAAACATCAAACGATAAGCTATAAGCAATTGCTAGCCAGTTACTACTTACTCTGCTGGCTTCATCACCTCTTATACCTACATATATTGTCTTTCAGCACACTCTTATTGGCATCTAGCGTAACAATAGTCTTGGCTAATACCCTTGGTCGCTTCATAAGTACCGAGATGAAGCGACTTCTGGAGCTCTTGGAATTTTCTTCACAGAGCCTTGGTCGCCCAGGTCCACCTAACCGAGCTAATTCCACACAACTTGAGCTCTTCAACGACATTTCTGTGCCTCGCTCTCATTCCGGTTTCTTACCCCAGACAACTTTCAGCTTGGTAAAGCCGTGGATAGTCTCATTGCGAACCTCGCGGCGGATGTGAGCAGCATATACGTCAATCTCCGACTTAGACCATCTCAGCAGATTTGCGACAAATGACATTGTGCCTGGAATGTCATTTTCGAAGACGAGCCGACCATACGTTCCGATCTCCCTTAGTTTTTCATCCTTTGGCCACCGGCCCCATGGCGCCTACGATTATTCGAGTGGTTAGCGTCCACTCGTACGTCCCGAGGACAGAGAGATGATGCTCACATTGAAGTCCCACTCAGCAATTTCAACAAAGCCTGCCTCCTCCATGGCTTTCTTCTGTAATCCGTCAGGCACAACAGTAAATGTCTGCCCAAGCTTATTTCCACCCTCTACAAACAGCTTGCCCCACTGGCCCATAGCACTTGTCTCTTTCACGCTACCGTCCTGACTTTCTATAAATGGTGCTGGTTCATAACTCTCAAAATAGCCGCCTGGCCTGAGACATCTATAAGCCTCCTTAGCCAGCGCTACCCAGTCGCGAACGCTACCAAGCAGGTAACGCGCGTGCACAAAATCTATAGAATCCGGCGCATAAGTCCAGACTTGCGTGAAGTCGTCGATCTCGCTATTCATTTTAGCAAGGCAGCCTTGTCCGATCAAATTGATGCATGAAGACCTACAACTTCAAATTCGGCGGCACCCAGGTCGGTTGGTTGGGAGACAGGTCCGTGCCTACAACCTCACAGTCGGGGTGTTCGTCGGCAAAATCGCTATACAGAAATTAGCACGCATCGTACGTGGGAAGAGAGCTTCAACCCACATGGCCCAGATCCCTGTTCCAGTGCCGATATCCAGTACTTTCTAACGAAATAATAAGCCTTCAATTATGATGAGCCGGACAAGACGCGAGAGACCGACCCGTATTGTACCCGTCAGCGGTGCTAGATGAAGCTTGCCGTTCAGACAGAGGGTGAGGAAATGATGGCTATCGGCATCAACACGTGATGGTATCTGAGATCATTCTAGCGCAACTCACTTGAGATCCAATGTGTCACTCGCTGCTTCATCATTCGAACCCCTTTGGAAGAATCAGCACGGGCCTGGCGGATAAGAGCAGAGCTGGCTATTGTAATGTACCAATACTGAGTATCTCCCCTTTCGCTGTGGTACGTCCTTCCTAAGACCGTCCGATATCTGAGAATGCTCGAGGCAATAGAGGCCGTGGAGCTTGCAGCATCGTCGCCAAGGGCCGAGTCAGCGTCATCGTTCTCGGGAGGCTAGACTTTTAGCATGCGCACTGTGGTCATGAAATGCGGGGGTGGTGGTTGGCACGAACCATTGCTTGCGCCGCCCAATGCGCGCCGGGAAGGGCATTAGTCAAACTCAGATCAGCCGCCGACGACCCAGAGGATGCCTGACCGGTTGTGGGCGGAGCCGGGGTAATCTGCTCATTGTCTGCCATGATAAAACGAAACGGTAGGGCAGTGATTGATGAACGAAAAAGCACAAAGGGAGGTTGACAATTTGAATAAAATCTGAGCTTCCCTGCCGACTACAAATCAGCTATTTGATTTCCCCTACATGGCGAAAGAACACCCAACCAGTTAGCATAGCAGTTGACAACCAACGTTATCGCAGCGCAGCCTTCAGCACGCATTCGGACAGAAATGCCGACGCGAAGACGCAGACCGGGATCTTTCTGCATGAGTAGCGCTCTTTGATGTCGGATGCCCGAGCCGGCAGGTCGCTAGGGCAGTACGTCCTATTTCGTTCTCGCACCATCAACAAAAGGGTTCTACTAGCCCCAAGTGCAATTTGTCGTACCATCAGATCACTGACAGGTCCAGACAGTCTATTCCACCAGATACGCGATCCTTCTTTCTCCCACGGTCCATACTTCTTGGCTTCTGACTGAGGTTCGTAAGTCGCACTCTGTGACTCTGCTACTCGCCGTTCCGTCTCTGCCGTCACTTTAGTCCTCCAAGATTCATTGGGCCTCCTCCAGTAGAGGTTCCGTAGAAGCGGTTAGGTACTGCATATCGTTGACACAGTAGCGTACCATGTCCGGATCAAGTGATCTTGTATTGAAGACATCGTACGAGCCACCCTTGGCTGGGTGAAAGAGCTTAAGGCCTTTTGCCTTAGTCATCTTCCAGTCGCGTTTCTGGCATAGTGAAAGAGGAGCATCGTTATCAATGCCTCTTTCTAGCCCATTAATGAAGCGCCGCCGACCTGCGGGACGTGCCGCATTCTCCATCAACTGTACATCTTCAACTCCCCGGAGCCGTACGCCAAAGTGATGGTGTAGAGCATCAGAGTCATTACGGAGGTCGAAAAAGATCTTGCTCACAGCCTCGGCCTCGAGGATAATCTTCAATGTAATTCCGTTAGCGGCTGCTTTTGTGAAGGCGGATGACTGAAGCGTATGAACATCGACAAGATAGACGCGATTTTGTGGCTGTACAAAGATAGTGACAAGAGAAATACTTCCGCGACGGGAAAGGCCTATCCCTTCTAAGTCTATAAATAGTGAAGTGCCAGTGGGTAGAGCCTGAAGTTCATCGACCAGAGCAATTATGGCCTCTTCCGAGTCTACCATACGGTGGGAGACATTTTCCGCAGCTTTTATTGCAAGATACCAGCGTTCAGGGCAAGGACGTCAAAAAGGGGTGTTACATCCTCTGACTCAAAGACTCAAATAGAAGATGAGAAGCCCAGATGGCTTACTGTATCTTTATATATATCTGCTCTTTGGTAGTACCGGTACGCGCCCGTGAGCATGGAGGGACTGTCAAGCCCTGCAAGCTGGTTGATACCAAACTTGCTTCTTTTCGGGCGCACCACTTTGAAAGCGGGTTGTTGTGCCACTGGAAGTGACTCATGGGTTTCGTATGTGCTGCCACATCCTGAAAAGTCATCGTGTGGCTTGCGGAAGTGTTTCGCCGATCGGAGGCTTCTGCAAAGACATGACTGGCAGGAATCGTAGCGAGCCTTTGGCTGTTAGTCTGAAGTTCGATTAGTGGAAGTGAAGCCAAGCCAGGCCATTCTGTATGGCGTCGTCGGCCTCCCGCATATAACCTGTGGCCATAATGTTACACTAGTTTCCATAAGGCTTGCTGGATGCATCCTGTCTAATAATGATTCGATATCAGAGATATAAACGAGAGGATATTATCTGGAGATTTCTCGGCGAAGACGTCACGATCGCGGCTCTGTTCACGCGATCTGGTTGGAGGCGTGTTTTGGCAAACGCTGGGTTGGGAATAGTGTACACTGAGGCGGCCATGTTTACTCCGCCCAAGGGTTCAGACACGGATGAAGATCCGCAACTCTTCATTATCGCGAAGAAGCTAAGATAAACAGAAGACTCCTCTTAGCTTATTCAGTTGCCCTTGCGATATGGCTCGAAAGTTTCGCGATTTCTTCCAGCTCAAATGCATCTGCTTAGTTCGCACTGAGCTGGTTTATACATACTCGGTGATCAGACTAACCTAGCCTAACGGCTCCAATCCTGTAAGATCTACAATTATTATTTGTCCTTACAGCAATGTTACCAGTCCAAAACTCATTGATATCCCAGTATGTCTATACAAAACATCTGTTGAGGGACTCCGCCTCCAGACCTGCGCCCACACAGCAAATTGCCCAGGCTGTTCCGGTTTCAGCAGTTCCCGTCCCAGTGATATGACACAATCACTGTTATCATCATAACTGACATCTCTACCATCGTGAGCAATATGGAATCCAGGTGAAAGCTGACAATACGCAATTCGGCTGACGCGGAAAGGTTTTTGGGATGCCAAGATGCTCAATGTTTGGATACAACGTTTCACTCCGACCATCTAGGGGTATCAAAAGTCCAAATCTAGCAGAATGATTCTTGTGTGCGCGACCATCAGACGTAGACAAGGCTGCTTTGCAAAGCGTAGAGGTTCTGCTCAGTTGCAGACTGCCAATCCCCATCAGCGGTAAAAGACTGCCCATGCTACCTGGGCTTCAACACGTCTGGCCCTCTCCATGCAGAATTCGAACCTATTAGCCCCTCTGAGATGACCAAGCCTAGTATGTTGATAGATAAGATGGACGGTCTGCACTTTTCGAGGGTGGAAAGCATCAAGAACGGCAAAATAGACATATAGGCATTTTTAACATCGAAGCCGCAGGTGGCTGGAAAACTATTGGCACGCTGCTTTCCATATCAGTCATTCACTGGCCACTCGCTTGCAAAGCAATCTTTGCAACCTATAAAAGTTGTCGCCAAGGTCATGCTATCCCATTCACGGCTCTGTGGTGGCGAGGATTCGGTCAGTTCAGTGCCTAGCCATTTGCCAAGTTGGATAGCGTTGCTTCAGCTGAAAACCCAGACTTGGCCCAGATATAAAGGCGGCTGAGTAGCCTTTGACAAGATAATTAATATATATATATATATCTTCAATCCCGTTTGCGCTTGTGTAAAAGCCATGAACGCTGATCTCTTGACTTGGTCTGGGGCAAAAGAGAATGGCAACAACTGGCAACGATGCGGCCGGGTCCGCCGCCGTCCACACGGGGTTTTGGATCGACCGCAGCCGGGGCCCAGTCTACCGGGCGACCCTCACCATCATCGATAGCCACGCGACCGTGCTGCTGGCCTTCCTTGCTGTCCTCGTCACTTTCACCGGCACGCGCAGCTGGAAGTTCTGGCGCTTCATCCTGCATTTTACGCTGCAAACCCCCAAAATCGATCCCTGGGAGACACCTTTCCACCGTCTTCGGGACCTCGTCCTCCTGCGAAACTCTGAGACAGCCGGCAGTACATTATGGACGCTGATCTTCCCGCCCCAGTCCAAAACCAAGTTCAAGAAAAGAGGTTGGATGGCGACGCTCTCGTTTGGGTCTTTTGCCGCCGCTCATCTGCTTGTCTTTATCGCGGCAGGTATTCTAACATCAAGGACCTTCATCGGGCGCACTGTCGTGTCGAAGGTTACCGACACATGTGGACAGTGGCTAGGAGACCCGGTGACAGTCGCCGATGAGGCATCGTACATACTGCAACAGGAGCTACAGTTGAACCAGACGGTGGATGCGGAGAACTATGTGCGCAACTGCTACGATGCTGGGACGTCTCGGCAGATTCTCAACTGCGGCAAATTTGTGACACAGTCGCTGCCGCACATAATGGAGAAGGAGGCACCTTGCCCATTCCAAAATAGTACATTTCTCACGGGCAATCAGTCCATTACTCTGGACTCGGAAAATATCACGTTAGCCCAGATGGGGATCAATTCCAAGTTCGCCAGTCGGCTCACTATTCGCAAGCGTAGCACTTGTGCCGTCCTTGATCCGAAGCTGTTTGAGGTCCCAGCATCGCTTCTCGGCCTTGATAACGGGAAGCCATCGTCAAGCTACGTCTTTGAGATGATCGACGGCGCGCTTTCGGCGCATACATTCTTCCACACAAACATCAGCGTCGACTACGACTTGCGATCTCTCACGTTGTCCGCTTTCAAGACAGAGGATCTCGTACCCCAGGTACGACTAGCGACCACCGATCATACGGTCTCCGTTATCCTTCTGGGTGGGGGTGGAATCATGTTCCCAGAGACACACGACGATCCCTTCTTCTCCGTGCATCGTGAGATCAAATTCAATGATCCCGAGAGGAAGCTTGACCCAGGCTTCAAGCGCTTTGAGCTTGACAGACTTGTTAACATAATAGGCTGCGACGAGCAAGCCCAGCTATGCAGCTCCATCACTGACCGGTGCGGCCCCTGGAGGAGTCTCTTCAATGTAGACTACACCCTTCCGACCGTCCTAGGCGGCGCCAACCTCGACGACGACGAGCTCTTAGATATTACCGCAAGCGTGACGCTTCTCCAGCTCATTCTCCCCACCACCAGCATCCCCATGAGCATTCAGCTGCGTCAGGCCTCGAGCGCTCTCCAAGCGAGCCGCTATTTTCTGCAGGCGACGCAATTCTACTTGCACCCGAACCAATGGGCCATAGAGCTCAACTACTGGTTCTCCATTGCCCTCGCGCGCTTGCAGCTCGAACTCTTCAACACCATAGAGCGTCCCCCCCATCTCGACGCGGCGCGAGCACATAATACATGGACGGGAACGCCGCTGATGCATCTGTGTGGCAGAGTCAAGTTCAACTCGCCGGATCACATGTCGCTGAGCGCGCTGGGGCTCGGCCTCATTCTGGCACTAGCAGTGCTGCTAATCGCCGTGAGCTTCGTGGATGAGGTGGCGGTATGGGCATTGAATAAGAGTGAGAGGAGGAGTAAAAGGCGGGGGGTGGGGGCATGGGAGCAAACGGAGATGTTCAGCTTATTGGATGCCGCGGTCCTGTTTTATGAGAACCGAGGAGCGTTGATCGACCCGTTTCTGATGGATGGAGAGGACACTCGACGAGGGGGGAAGAAGGACAGGTCTGGCTTTGTGCAGTATCAGGCTGAGCCCGCTGGGGGCGAGTATGCAAGAAAGCCATCTTAAGGCATGGAGTGTGCTGTTGCGCGATACAAAAATTAAAACCGTTGAGAACGTTAAAAGCATTTTAGGACCAGTATCCATGGTCGCCAATAGTAAATTATAACATGTCAATCAGTCATGGACTCTACTGAGATTGAAGCCTTGGGTAACTATCAATTTATCTACATGCTTACAGGTTCAGTACCATTGTCAGATATCAGGGGCTCGTATCAGCTTCAATCTCCAATTCAACTATCATGAAGAAATTAACAGCTATCTGTCAATAAGCGTCAATGAACTGAAGGTTGATCCATTTTGTCTCACCAGAATGAGTGTCAACAATCCAAGCTAGATGAGTAGATGACAGACTCAATTTGTGGTATGAATAGGCAACTGGGAAGTGATGAGAAATTCACAGCCGACACTAAGCCTCAAATTCGCAAGGCTTTCAGACTTTGTCTCATGTCGTACAACTGCGCCACCACAACTAAACTTGCCTTGCTGCGCCTCCATAGCCATGTTACCATCTGCTGAGGCACTGTACGACTGATAGCCACCAACCCCCGCCCTGCTTTGGTTGAAACGCTTTCCGTATGGTACGTGGCTACTTGACAAATGAGAAAAGAATGTATCCTTGTAAAATGGGTTGGGCAGCTCTTCACCTACCTAGGTAAGCAGTAACTTACGCCGACGCTCGTTTGTTGTACAGGCAACAAAACCAGGTTAGCCTCACTCTGTTCATATTCTCAACCCACGAGCTGGATCAACCTAAACAATTTCTTTTTAGATTCCACATCCTGATGGTTTAGCAATGTTCTAATAATTGCTGAACATGTCCATGGAACAAGGCTGTGCATCTAACTGCAGCGTAAGGTTCACCAATCATATTTCTCTATCTTGAGTCTATGTGAGTGTGAAGGGCATAGCCGTTTGTATAATATTCCGGAAATATCCTGGTAATTCCCTCGGAATAACCTGCGTCGTTTCATATGTCGAATATTCCATACGACCACCACAATGAAAGAGTTACCATCACATTGCTGGCTCAGTGTCTCTGGCGAATATCATGAGTTGATTAATCGGCTTGTCTCCTCTGACCCGAGGCTACGCCACAGAGATCCAAAAGCTGAAAGTCAAGGAATGTCATGGCCAAACAAGAATGTGAAGCTTGTCGGGCTGCAACTTCGATCAGACGGAAAATTCCAGGGCCCATTTGAATACACGCCGCAGTCCCTGCGAGAACATCTACAAACATCGAAGTCAGCTACTTGCAGCACGGTATATATTCTTGAAGGGCTACATCCCGACTTCATCAGTGTATTAGGGGAACACCTGGGGTTGCATCCCTCGATCTTTGTTGACCATGAGCGGGTAGTAATCAACTCTGAAAAGGAGTGTGACAATGTTGGCCTGCCCTCGCTACTCAAGTCAAGGGAGCATTGTACGATGAAATACTTTCAACTTTTCTCTCTTCCCAACAACGTGCACGGTTGTTTCAAAATGTACTGCGAGGCAACAGGGCGGCACATTGGGGTTACAAGGGTTGCAGGGGCTTTTTCGAATGTAGGAATTCTTCGCCGGAAGTGTTCCTTTTGGACCCGACAGACGGAGGCTGGCCACCCTTGGAAATGTGAGTGATTCCCCTAATAGGCAGCCGAAAGTGTCTAGATAATAGTTAATATTTTGAAGGCCTCATAATTACAGACCCCCCACTTCAGGCAGTACGGCTTGCTCGAATGGGCGCTGATGGAATTCAGGTTACAGACGAAACTGTGCCAATTTCACCCAGTCATTTCCAGGGAGGCTATCTCGACTTTGTGCCACATGAATATCAGATGATAACCAAAGCAGGCCCTCCTCGAACTTCAATGCTTGATGATCTCTGCTTCTATATAAAACTATATACCAGTTTCATCGGGATAGACAAGCCTGAAGGTGTGGTGTTGTTTGCCAAAAAGATTGTGGCTTCGCATTACCTTCAACACGCGGAGTTTCTCCGATCAATTATATCGACAACGCAGTTTCATATGTCTCGCAAAGCTACCATTCGTCTGCGACACTTCAGTGATGATTATGTTGAAACCCAATGGAGTGATAGCCAAGCACTAGTTCGACGTATGTGTGAATACTGCGAAGGCTTGGAGGCAATCATGCTCCAATGTGGAATCGCATCATATCAACCAAACCTAAACGATATGAAGTCTTGGCATGATGTAGCGACAGATTTTCAATTCCTCCACAGAACATTTCGCGACTTACGACGCCGTACCGAAAGGCTCAACTCAGCCACTGTAGGACTGGCTAGTATAGCCTCGAATCAGCAAGCCCTGCGGGAACATGCTTCATCACTGAAAGAGGCAAAGAACATGAAGTCCTTGACTCTTCTAGGGTTAATATTCATTCCTCTGGCATATACATCATCACTTTTCAGCATGACGCAACCATACGGACCAGGAGGGGATCAGTTCTGGATCTATTTTGCCATATCAGGCCCCCTGGTCCTGTTCGTGCTAGGACTATTTTACGTCGCAACTGTTGAATTCAAAGTTTTCAAATGGAACAGCCTCCTAAGCGGAGATAATATAAACAAATACACTACGAGAAGACGCCAAGAATCGAGAGGAGCCAGAGGAACCAAAAATAGCTCACGGGTATAGAAGAGTCCCAGAAAGATACATAGCTTAGTGTTTTCGTTTCTCGCATGTGATCAAGCTAGCAATGAAATTTCTACATTTTGAAACCTTTTTAAACACGATTTAGGCCTCTTTCTTGCTTAAAATCTATGTACTAGTCAAAAATAAGTAATCTCTATGCAAGCCTGTCGGGAGATTTTATTCGAGGATAATATCTAATCTCTATCGACCACTCTTCTCAGCGAGATTCTATATAGAAATATGTTCGTGTGTGCTAGTCACGGCACTGATGAGCTTCAACACATTAAGAAAGTTCTCTATTCCTATGTTCTTCTGTTGCTTCTATAATCTGTTGGATGGATTCCTAGTAGGACACTCGTGTTTACACGTCTCACCTTGGATCACCCTGCGGAGCACCCTTCATCTCTTTAACAGTAAGGAGACCTAATATTTCTATCACAAGCTCCAACACAAATGTATTGGATTCTAGTGTCATGAAATAATGATCGGGCTACTGAAAAGTTGCAGCTTGAATTCCTGTCGTGCCCCGCTCTCTATAGCCGTGTCGATGGAACCTTGGGAAATAGTGGCAAGGTTAGACGGATGATCGTGAGTGATAGCTATCTTCAACTTGAATGCCTAATTTCACACTAGTGTAAGTGATAGATTAGCTCAGTACCTATTATGTCAAACTCTCGACTTACTATTGTAAGACTGGTCGAATTACATAGTGATCATCTAGAGACCACCTTGATAACACCGAGAGAGGAGCCAGAGTTGAGCTTATAACAGCGAGGCTCGCCCAGGCCACCCCATTAGTTTCAGTGAAATGAGCCGAGGTAGGTCTGTCTGCAAATCTGTCCAGATGACAACCTGAGCCAGTGTGGCCAAAACGAGGCTCCTGATCGGTGCCTAAGGGCAGATGCTGGCTTGCCCTTCGATCAGGTTAAAGCAGCCCCAGCTCAGGTAAATGCACGACAACGGCAAATGCTAAGGGCAATATTCGGGAAACGTATATATCTGTTGAAATGAGTGACTCCAATGATTGCAGCGTTTGAGCTTGCACGTGATCTGGTGCTTTGGCGGTGTTCTCCAACACAGAAAAGCGCAGGAAAAGATGGGCCACATCTCCCATCCCCCCATCAACAGACAAATCACACATCGCAAATACAAAGCCTGGGCTGGTTGCATCATCAAAAGATATCTAGATGAGATGCCGGACCGAATCCCTTGCTACCTGGGCGCTCTAGCTCCTGAGCTGGTCGAACATATTCTATCTCAGTTGGACTCGATAAGCGCGCTTGGCAATTTCATCACCTCCTGCCGCTATGTTCATGGGTGCTTCAAGAGGCAGCAAGAGTACCTCGTTTTCCACGTACTATCGAATGAGCTCGGCCCCGTCTTGACGGATGCCAGGTTCCTGTGCAAATTTCCTTATGCAGACTATGGCGACAGCCCACAGGAGTGGTTGACTTATTGGGACGGCTTGCACACCAGCGCCGAGATGTATAGAGGCTGGTTGAACGCTGACCGTGACCGCCATGGGCAAGGCGATGCGGCCCCGAGCCCCGAAGAGCTGACTCAACTCTGCCACACATTCCACGAGATGAACTTCCTCACCCGCACTTACGTTACGGCACAGCAGCAGTTGTGCAGCCGCTACGGGCCGCCGGCGGGCACGGCGCCGCTGTCTCGGGCGGAGCGCCTGCGGATATTACGGGCATTCTACCGGCGCCAGATCGTTTGCAACGCCTGGGCGCCGACGAAACGCGAACCCTGCTGGACAGAACGGGACGTGGCCGCGATCAGCAACACCAGCGATCATCAGGGCGTGCCTCTAGGTCTCCTCGCCGCCTTTGAGCCCTGGGAGTTGCAGCAGATTGATCATGTCAACCATTTCGTCGCGCGGCTTTGCGCGGCGCTTACCCTCGTCGGAGAGGAGGAAGGACAAGAGGCAGACTTCGGCGAAATCTTCTCGCACATGGACGAGCTGACACGGTATTTACGATCCCATTCGAAGCTTGCTGATGCTGCGCTCCGCGCCCTGCCCTCGCTCCCTCGGCTTACGAGTCGAGAGCTCCTCGACGCTGCGCCAGCGTACAGCCAGCTTTCGCAGCGTTACTGCCTACCTTGTCTTCGGTATGCCTGGCAAGCCTCCCGATTGGATAAATTTCCGGATCCGGCCAGAGACAAGAGTGAGCACCAGCAACAACAACAACAACAGGGGGAGGATGGAGAAGAGGGAGGCAGCAACGGTACGACGCTTGATTTTGCTGGGGACAATGTTGAATTGCCTCCCTTCGGCTGGGTAGATGCCCTAGACGGATGTTACGTGAATTGGTTCGGAGAGGCACTTCATTCCGAGGTCGGGACAAGTTCTCATAACTCGCT